TTGTACCAACTATGGTTTCACCAACCAGAATTGCCTCAGAAGCTCCCTCTACAGGTTTTGGCTGTTAGAAAGTCTAGACTTAAGTGGATCCAAAATGCTAGGATAATGGTCGTTGGTAAGTCATTTAACTAATCTTAGTTGTGAACTAATATTTTCTTGACTTTCCTTCATATAAGGCTAGTGAATAACACAAAACAAGATTATGGGGAAAAAATAAGATGCCTGTATTTTAATGGAGCTTTTTTTTAAGCAGGCAGACAGATGGACAGTGTCTCTTAAAGAAGTCCCATTAAATTAATAGAATTATTTTATTTGGTCTAGATATGAATCACACTATCCTAAGCAATATAGGGAAGTGTTTGAGCAGCCAAACATGCAGTTAATTACAAGTAATAAAGAACAGTTACAGTTTTGACTTGCAGTAGTGTTTAGACTCCGTGAGGGATTAGGATGTGCCAAGCACAGTCATGTGTGACTTGGCAGCAATTGGTCAGCCGTGGCCACGTGTACAGCAGTGGGCACTGTGGGCTGTGCCACGTAGCCCAGAGCAGGGGCCATGCCATCTAGGTGTGTGTATTTTACACTCTGATTTTTGTGCAAGGAAATCACCTAATGATGATGACTGTACGAGGCTTGAGAAACGTCTCAGCTACTGTTCTGAAAACCCGATGTTTAAGTTGTGAGCAATATCTTTAAATGACCTTTTGATTTATTATTGTTCATGACAATTCAGTTTGAGTTTCCAAGTCTGGAAACTCCTTTCTTTTTTCAGCAGAGAGACTTCTCCCAACATCACAAATACTCTTGGGCTCTTTGATCTGTTTGTGTCTTGACAGTAAAAATCCTGTACTTGGGGTCTCCCCGGTGGCCTAGGGCTTAAGTCCCAACGCTCTCACCCCTTTGGCCTGAGTTCCATCCCCAGCCAGGAGGTGACCCACATGGCGTGGCAGGCCTCTCCTGTCTCCCCTGCCACTCCCCTCAGCAGATCTACTGATTGTGCTCCCTACTCTGAATCCTCTCGCCTCCTGCACCTGTTGCCTATACCTCAGTTCTTCTATGCATAAATAAATCTTAAAAAAAAAAAAAAATCCTATACTTGGTTAACCTGATCATTGTCTAGTGAAATAGGGTTATGTCAGCCACCTTGGTCACCAGCTTAAAGCCATTATTTATGACTCTGGAAGTCACACGCCTCCCAGTTTTTACTTCCCTGGAAATTTGAAATTGGCCGTCTTGCCTTGCCTCTTTCCAGAGTCTTTCTCTTTGTGGTCAGATGGGGTTTACTGCTTCCCTCACCTCACAGGTGTGTGAGATGCTCCGCCCAGGTGCGAGTACTCCGCCCAGCATTACCTGCCAGAGCAGCACCGTGGGACAGGTAGTGAAATGATGTGATTCTTCCGCAAGGACTGCAGGGGCTGAGCCGGGCTTTTCAAACCACTTTTAACAGTCTTGAAATGGACTTGTGTTTTCAGTTCATACTATTTAATGGAGAATTTCTTATATAAGCACCAGAGAGTACTTGCAAGCTTCAAACAAATGAAATCCCCTTTCAGTTACTTTCTTGACAGACCGGAAGATTCACATGGCAGTCATTTAGAGGTTAGTGCCAGTGAAAATGTGGACACCAGGAATGAATAGTTCTCCATTATTTACCAAAACAAAAATAACTTTTAGAGACAGTGCTTAAAAATACAATTCCTGGCTTATTTGTCAAACATTTAGGTCAGGCTGTGTCTTAACCTACTTGCTGACAAATGAAATTTGAGGCAGTGTGTAAAATTTTTTAAAATCTTACCCAAAAAATACTTTTCTCTTCACAGACAAATCCGAGACACAGTGAACTGGATTTTCAGCGAGCAAATGTTGGTTTACTACATCAATGTTTTCCGGGATGCTTTTTGGCCAGATGGGAATTTGGCACCACCCCCCACAATCAGAAGCAAAGAACAAAGTCAGGAAACAAAACACAGAGCACAGCAAAAGCTACTAGAGAACATTCCAGGTGAGGCCTGAAAAGTACAGAGATAAAAGGGAATATTAACCCTATTAAGTTTTAAATCTCATTTAAAACTCTCAGGGAACACTATTTACAGAGAAAAATGATCACACCTTCTTTTCTTCTTAAATCATATCTTAGCCCCGCTAAGAAATTATACTGAGGATGTTAAATATCAACAGTAATGGACATTTATAATATTTTTTTATCACTAGAAAGATAAATTTTATGCTTTTAAAAGCCTATGGTGTTTAGAGAACATAATTTTGAATTGGATAGCACTATATTAAAATTATAATTTGTATAAATATGTTGAAAACTTCTAAATGTTTTTCTTTTTAAACATTTGAGAGAACAATCGCTGGTATTCCTTATGTCTCAGTACCTTTATTCATGGTGTATGTGTCATGTCATACCTCCCCCACTGAAGATGCAAGGTGCACTTGTCACAGAAGCAGCATGGAAAGTAAACTTAATTTTTTTTTTTTTTCAGATATGCTTCAGAGCCTCGTTGGACAACAAAATGCTCGTCATGGTATAATAAAAATATTCAACGCACTGCAAGAAACGAAAGCCAATAAGCATCTACTGTATGTGAGTAAATTAAAGCCTACAAAAAGACGAGCTATTTCTTCTGTTTAACATTTCTGTTTCTACATGGGGTAAATTTTAATTCTTCACATTCTTGATTATAACTGTGAAGCTACTTGTTTCATTTTTTGTTCATTCACTTACAAGAGATTAAAAGGAAGGGAAACTCACACCAGTCTCTTTGACTTAGGATACGTTATCACCTTTCTACGTGGTGACTTGGTTTTTCTATTTCAGCAAAGCAAAATGTTCCCCAGTCATCTGATGGCTATCTTCAGTATCATTGATGGTTTGATAAGGCTTCACAGGACACAAAATAAATCAGTTTGGTGCCAACTAATATTTATATAATGTTAATTCCATTTGTTTGAGAGTCACTTGTTCAGTGAAGATAAATTCAGACCTCACACTAGACTTTCCTCATAGACATGGATATTTTAGTAAAACTTTAGAGAAAACACTTTTTTCTACTTTTTTCTGCTTGTTTCTTAATCCAGGTGCTGATGGAACTGCTGCTAATTGAACTGTGCCCTGAGCTGAGAACTCATTTAGATCAACTAAAAGCTGGTCAAGTCTGAGGCTGCACAAATACACCACCAGAGAAATGTCTGTGTAATAATAGACATGAAACATTTTCCTCTTTTCCACAGAGGGCTTGACTGAAAACCATACTGATTTTTATTTTAGTTCCCTCTCTCTAGTTTTATGTGAAGCAAGCAGAATTGGGTGGGTAGGGGGTGGGACTTGATGCTGTCATAGACAACAACAATAAGAAAACCCTTCTGTTGATTGTTGTTTTTATTTTAACAATAATATAAATGCTCTAAAATTCAAAATGCTGATTGAAATACAAATGTTAATATGTGATAAGAACCTAGGAAATATTTTAAATATTTATGAGAATGGTTTTGTTTTAAAATGAACTATGAATATTGTACAGTTAATTTCCTCACTGAGGATTCAGACATTCCTATATTATTTCATGTGTTTGAAGAACTTTGTTGTGCAATGCTTTCTGTAAAGTTATTGTGAAAATTTTACTCTTTATTTTTACCAAAGATTTCCCCTAGTTTGAAGCATTTGAAGCAATAAAATGTGAAAACGATTCACAGGACTCTATTATGATGTTTAAGACACTTCTATCTCAAAAAAGGTTGAAATACTTCATCTAGCTCAAACGTTTGTCAAATACCTTTTATGGAAAACCTCAGCACTTCAGAACATTTGTAAGGAAATAGAAAATTTGTCAGCATTCTCTAGACATGGAATGTAAGTATGAAAAATAAGATTTAATGATGAGAAGAGTCAAATTTGTGCTTGAAATAATGCATATGGGATGTGGGGTGGAGCTGAACTTGGAAGCAAGAGTAAGATTGAGATACCAAAACCAGAAGAGGAGGAAAGTTTCTTCAGGGACATTAGGGACTTGACCATATCAAGTCTGTGGTTTTGTGGGGGCATTAAGTGAGATCCAGGATTCAGATTTTGTTTAACTATTAATAGTGGGGTTATAGACAAGATTTTCCTGGGATGCATCATCTGTTTTCACTGATAATAAAAATACTTTCTCTAACAGCTGCAAGTATGTGGAAAACAGAACAATAAGCAAAACTTCAGTTGGAAATCTGTGAAAGAAAATACCATATATTAAAGTGGCATTGATCTTACAATCGGATCATGCTTGCCAAGTTCTTGATATGAAACATAAGTTCTGAAAGATCTTGCTTAAATCTTCTTTTAGAAATGATCGCTGTGGTTTATAAAAACACATCAGTTTACTGTGTTTACAAAATAGGGATTGTGAAGTATCATTAACACATTTCATTTTCAATACCTGTTTCATAGATGTGTATCAACATACAGTCTTCTGTATATGGGGTCTGCAATTTTTTATTGTCAATGTTTGTCTTAAATGTCATTGATCTATGGAAAGCCTCTTGCTAATTTAATTTTACAATATATTGGTAGGTGATTTCATTGATATCTTTTTAGATTTTTATAATGTGTTGAAATATATAAAGTTTTAAAAATACATAAAATGAAGCACAAAGAAACATCTTGTTTTAATTGGATGTCTTATAAATATTCATCAGGAATATAGCAAATGTTTTACTCATTAAGGTCTTTTAGGGAAAGGGAAATATTCGAAGCAATTTCTTACATGCTTTTTTTTTTTTTGAGTTTATAAAAGTTGGCCAATTATATGTAAGAATCTCTGTTAAGAATATAAGCTATCCCAAAAGATTTATTGTATTCTTAGTTTTAATAACTGCAGAAGTACAAATGCTATATAAATTTATAAAAAAACATTATTTGAAATTTTCTTTAAATTTATTTGACTCATACATAGTTTTGTGATTTTTAAATGAAAATTACAAGTGACTGAACCAACAAATTAAGGTTAGAAATTTTTTATTCTTTATTCACAACATAAAAAAAATCAAAGAAATTTAAAGAATTAAATTTTCAAATTTAAAGTAAGCTTATAGCAGTTGTATTTCTAAAGCTATTAAACTAAAACACAAAGTATTTGGGCCATTTTGTATTTAAGAAAGGTAAAAAGTACTTGATTTTTGGAGTGGTTTTGAAAATTTGAAGTGGTCTTGGCTCAGAGTAGGATATCTGAGGACTCTTCTGACAATTTGAGCTGATCCTTGGTTACAAGCTGGAAAACTACAGTATACAAATTCAAGAGTGAAGGTATGTCATCGGAAAAATTCCCAGGGTAAGTTATACCAGAAAATAGCCAAACACATCTTCTATAAAATAAACACATTCTAGGGTTTTAGGATTGATGATCTTTGTTGAAATACATCATGGTCTAAATTCTTTGGTGAATGAGTAAAGAGTGAAGTTCATCTGCCAATGCAGGATTCAGACGACAGGCCTTAAAATCAAAGGAAAAGAGTCGGTTATTTAAATACAATTTGAATTGTTGTATGTTTTCGTTTTTAAAAATAATAAGATACAATAAGTAATAAACTTCAAGGGACTTTCTTAAGACACCTTTCTATTATGATTTCCTAGTGAGGAAAATCCAAGGTACCATATATAGACCCAAAATACATTATACTAAAACTAACCATGATGTTACCACTTGAGAGAAGTTTTTATCACTTCCAAGAAATAAAGGGAGTACACCAATAGCATTCAGTGTCATGAATTTTTGAAGTAAAATGTAAAGCAGGAACATCTGGCCTCAAACTAATTATTAACTCATGCAACTGGCAGCACCTATAATAATAACTTATTTCTAAATATGTAGTTTCATTATGAATAATGTGAATGTGCATGACTTCATAGACGTCAAGAACTGGGGAGACATCTGAGCTTATCAGTGCAGAAACTGTCCCCGTTAGACCCAGAGCAACTGGTCACTGGATATTTGCTTGTCTGCGTCTCAAGAAGTCATCAGCTTCTAGGGGAAACAGTTGTATTAGTTCTAAAACAGTTGTATTAGGAAGTTCTTTATACTCGGCTGGAATTTCCCACCATGTCCTTTAGAATGATCAAAGGGTGTGGGGGGCACTAACGCTGATTCCATAGAAACCAGAAGAGACAAAGCAGTTGACAGTCACCACCTGGATGGTGGCGGAGCTGGCGAGGCCTCGGGCTCCTGCATCAGGCTCGCTGTCTCTGCCAGTCTCGGCTCTTCCCATAACATACTCTTCCCTTCCCCACAAGCTTTTCTGTAATTCTGGTAAACACAGGACCCCTTGGATTAAGAGAAAAGTACACATGATTTATGCCATTAGTCTGTACTCACCAAGCTGTCTTTGGTTGTTACCAAACAGACCCATTTTTTGGTGGGATAACTGATGGCTTTTGCTTGGGGTCAGCTACCTTAAGGTCTGCGATCTCAAGGTTAGTTGTATTTGTGTACAGAGCTACTGTGTCCATGTATTAACATGAACAGATGCTCTGGAAAATGTAGTATCAACTAAATACTTTAGGGATCTTGGACTGGCCTGCACATTGGAATCCCTGTGCTTCGCAGATAACTTGTATCCCACTTTGGAGACTGGAGACCAGGATTCAGTGTTCTGAAATAGGGCCAAGGCTTTGAAAATTTTAAAAGATTGCAGGTAATATTAATACACAAGTTTGGAAACCATTTCTGTAACGTGATCAGATTCAAGCAAGAGACCAACTGCTCTCTTTGCCTGTTTTCTTGCTCTAAGAACAACAGTGTCACACAAGTTAGTGACAAAGCTCTGATATGGTACTTCATGGATATCATGGACCAGGGGTATACCATTTTTTGTTTGTTTTCCTTTTAAAAAATTTCACTTACAGATATTCATATTCAGTTATTTCCCCTTTTACTATCTGTTCTCTACTTTCTGAACAGTTGCTAAAGTTTAGATGTAAAAAGTGTTTGGGACCTAAACAAATTGACCCCATGGATTGAAATATGAAAAGGCTTAACTGATTACCCTCAAATTCATGAGTGTTTCTGGTAAGTGGAGATGTCAAGCATTAAAAAAAATCCATGTTTCAACTTGGATGGAGCTGGAAAAGATCATGCTTAGTGAGATAAGCCAGAAAGAGAAAGAAAAATACCGGATGGTTTCACTCATAGCAGGAGTATAATGGACCAGGCGAGAAAATAACAAAAATAATGAACAACCATATACCAGAGACATTTTGTAGGGGTGGAGTGGGGAATGGGATCAAAAACAGCAGGGTGAGGGAAATGCACCAGACTATGGTGATGGCACACTAGTGATTTGGTGATGGGAAACCCGCGGGGATTACAATCGGGATGGAAAAAAAATGTACAAAATGATGTAAAAATAAACTTTTGAATAATTAAAAAAAAATGATAATGATGAACAGCTATGTACCAGAGACATTTTGTAGGGGTGGAGTGGGGAATGGGATCAAAAACAGCAGGGTGAGGGAAATGCACCAGACTATGGTGATGGCACACTAGTGATTTGGTGATGGGAAGCCCAAGGGGATTGCAACTGAGATGGAAAAATGCACAAAATGATGTAAAAATAAACTATTTTATATATATATATATATATATAATCCATGTTTTTAGACTATATTACGTTAAGATCCTAGAGGGAAGATGGTCATGTTTCTGGGTGAAAAAGGTTGAAACCATTTTGCATTATGGTCTTGGTCTTGGGGCTTAGGCTGCAGATGGTAGCAGAGTGAGAGATGATAATTTGCGTCAGAATGGGACTGATCACCACAGCTTACTGTATTGCTCATAACAATCTGACGAGATTGTGAGCAAACAATCTGCATGTCTGACAATGTCTAGGCAAAAAGAGTATCTGCAGAGTGAAAAGGTGTGGGTCAAAACTTGAAGTCCAGAAATTGTTGTTTGGGTCAATTTATATGAGTTCTCAGGCTTACTTTAGAATAATAGAGTTTGGCTGTGGCTTCATCCTTTGTAGCACCCAAACCAAGCTGAAGACATCTTGCATGGTAGAATGATGCAATGGCCATGCCTCTGGTGATGAATTCGGGGAGACAGTCCGTGACCTTGGCTATCATAGGAATATCGTGAACCTCATCATAGTCAGCAATCCTGTTAGGATGTTAAATGGAGCAATTAAAAAGTATCAGTTATGGTTTACATTTTTGTGAAAGACATGTCCAGAAATTATCCTTGGGGCCCTCGCTGGTGGCGCAGCAGGTTAAAGCACAGCACTAAGAAGCTAAAGCCACTTCAGTGCGAGTTCAATCCCCTGCCAGGGAGCTGACCCACATGGCGCAGCAGACCTCTCCTGACTCATCTGCTGCTCCCCTCAGCAGTGTACTTTGTCAGTTGGTCTGTTCTGTTCCCCACTCTGTCTCTGGTGAAGCCTCTCACCACCCCTGTACCCCAGTTCAGTATGCATAAATAAATAAATCTTTAAAAGAAGTTATCCTTATTTTACAGCTTCCCTATGGTTATACTCATTAGGTTTGATAGTCCCCAGAGAACAAAAGAAAGCTCTCCTTTTTCTGGTAATGTTAATACTTTAAGCTTAATACTTTGCAGATTTAAAGCGTTTTCTCTTCCTTTGGATTGTTTATTAAATATTCACGTTAAATTTAGACTAGCGCCATAGGACCAGAAAACACAGTAAAAAGCTAGCATGCCTATCTGTTTTTAAAATTTGTCAGTAGAAATAAGTCATCCTTTATAAGCATCAGATAAATATGGAGAGTTGTGTGAAAATGAGATCCAATCAACTGTGTTAATTATATTACAGGAAGTAGGAATGTGACAGTCATGGAAGTTTCCAAAGATTTCAAAAACTGTCCAAAGTCTTGGTTTTAATGAGATGGGTACTTGGAGGTGGCGATTTTTTAAAAATGAATTTATTGTTATCAAAGTACCATTGTTCCACATCTTGCCACGTCGCCTGGGAGAAGGGGGCAGTAGAAGCAGCTCCTTTTTCTCTTTGTCTTCCTTTGTAGGTGGCGGCCACACTGGGCTGGGGAGAGGGGAGTCCGTGGGCCTGTTGGGGGCAGGTTATTGGGCAGGAAATACATAGAGTGGCCACTCCAGAGGACAGTGAGGTCTATTTTTCCTGGTTTGTTGCTTTTGTATGTTATGGGTAAATAAAAGTAAAAGAGGCTGACAACAGAGAGTTCTGTATATTTCATAACATGTTGGTGTTCCTTATTTATTCGTTTACAGTCCTTATCAAGCTATATTGCAATTGTGTCGTTACAGAACCTATGGCAGAGGAATGTAGCAACTAAGAACTAAACAGTCCTGATGTGTCAAGCTATGTTAAGTACTTTTTAGTCACTATTTTTATGATCCTGCTATACAAGTATAATGTTCCCCAAAGTCCAGAAACTTGCTTAAGGTCACTGAACTGGTATAGAGAACAAATAGCACTGACATCCTGGGTGCTAATGGCATAGAACTGTACTGCCCCATGATGTAACAGTTCTTTGTGACTATTTCAGTTAATTAAAATTCAGTGAAGTTTAAATTTTAGTCCTTATTTGCACTAGTCACCTTTCAAGTGCTCATCATTCCCAATTTGCAGCACATCTATGATCACAACCAGCATAGAACATACAGTAAGTTTTGTAAATACTCTCATCCAGCTTATTCACCTTTTGGAAAATGCAACGCACTTCGTAAAAAATTTCATCTTATAGTAATACTCCACGAGAGTCCCTTGAGCATAGACATTTCCACGTTCTGCTGCTTCCCTTAAGCAGTGCAGTGCAGCGTCGGTATCCTGGTGGGTGCCTTGTCCATACAGGTACATGAGCCCCAGCGCACCCTGGGACTCCAAATTTCCATTGCCACACGCTTCTGAATGCCAGTAAAAAGCCTCAAAAAAAAATGTTTCATATAATTTATTAGAAGATGAAATTATAAAGGAATAATACTGAGAAGAAAGAAAACATCTTTACAGAACAGTACTAGTAATTATCTCTAAGAAATAGTCCTAGTTCCGGGAGTGCATTTCAGGCCAGCCCAGCTTCACAGGCTTCCAGGAATGCGCAGGTGCCCACCTGCTGCCAACCTGCAGCACAGGGGAGGTCACCTCTAGAGAATTTGCTGTCTCAGGTTACAGGATTTGCATATTTTGCCAAGGAATTTTTAAGAAAATGGGCAATTAGGAATTGCTGTGTGGAAGACTAGGATGCAGCTCTGTAATGAGGCACAGTGGGGAGAAGAGCTTCGGATGTCGGGGAGTGATAGCCAGACCTTCGAGTGGATCTCGGAGATGGCAGCTGCCATGATCAAAAGCACCGAGGATTAAAAGCTGATTGTGATCTCAAGCATATTTGTTTAATCTCAGCTACACCCGAATTTGAGCTCCAAGAAGTACTTCCAGCCTCTGAGGAGGAACCTCTTAGCCCTGCACTTCCTTCTTTCTAAAGGATTTCTTGGAAATGTTGCAATGGTGAAATGATGATTAGACACAGTACATTTCTGTGAAAAATCTTAAAATGGGCTCAATTTTTAATAGTATGTTCTACTTGGTATCATTTTTTTGTTTCCTCAAATTGAATGTCATAGCCCTCTTGAAATGATGTGGCTTTAATTTTAGGACTCTCCCTCTGATGACAGCTTTTATGGTATAGTACGGTTGCATGTGTAGCTTTTTTATTGAGACACAGTCAACATAGGACATTGCTAGTTTCAGGTGTACAAACAAGTGGGTATCTTTTAATAGAATACAAAATGTTCTTACACTGAGGAATGAGAACAGCTGTGAGATTCAAAAATGTCAGTTTCCTCTGTTTTAAAGAAAACATGAGATGTTGAAAACTAGCCACTTAACTACTCATCCCTTCAAAAACGAATTAGTACAACAAATACTAGTACAATGCTTATATTAACAAAAGAAGTTACCTTTTGTAACTCTTTAGGCTCCTTCGTGGAATAATACAATCCCAGGATGCTTTGAGCCTTCACACTTGCTTTTGGATTTCCGTTGTCTGCAGCAAAAAGCCACAGTCTAAAAGAGAATGGCGAAGCAAGTTTTTTTGTTTGTTTTCAACACTTGATTTAAACAAAATTTCTTGTCTGGGGTAAGATTACCTTTCTGCTTCCTCTTCTGATCGATCGACGCCTTTCCCTTCATAATAAGCTCTTCCAAGGTTGTAAGCAGCCGCAAAGTGTAAGTGTCTTGCTTTGGGACATGGAGATTCAATAATTTTCTTCATATATTCCACTCCTTTTTCCTTCCACAAAGGAAATGAAGAAACAAAAAGCCCTGGTTTTCAGTTTTACCCAGTAAAACATTCATCTTCTGCTATCATGGGTGACTCCATGACTGCCTGAAGGGAAGGTTGCCCTCTACTCAGTGGGAAACACCCCTCTCCTCAGGGGATGCCCCCAGTCCTGGGACAACGGCCTTTCCCTCATTGTATAGTTTCCAGACTTTCACTTTTGTCTCAAAATGGGTTTCTTTTAGCCTCTCAACCCTCCCAGTATAATTGTTATTCTAAATCAAGCATAATTCTCAAAATGTATGGCAAAGTGCAGAAATCTGGTTAACTTACTAGCATTTTTAGAGTCAATTCAATTTATGTATGCTCTAAACCCCTAAATACAAAGTGATACTACAATCACTGTTTTTGTCACATATCTTTAGAAGGGATTAAGAGGGCTATGTATACACACACACACATACACACACACCCACAGGTATGTAGATACATGAATTTGTTACTTATTTGCCATTACAAATTTTCCCATCACCATTTCCTATAGATTTGAAATGACAATTTTATGATGTACTAAATACCCCACATCTAATGAGGTCTGTTCTGGGTCTCTGTTCTTTTGATCTGTCTATTCTGGGGGAAAAATCACATTGTTTTCAGCATGGCAGGTTTACACGTGGCTATTTAGCCATAGTGTGCGCTCCTCCCTGTGCGTTCATTAGAACGAAGCTGGTGATTGCCTATTTGTTCTGATCTATCAGTTCTCCGGTCAGCTTTTGCAGTGTCATGAAAAATCTTGTAGGAAATTTGAGTCTAATTGTACTTAACAGGTGAAGTGGAATCTGGAGAGAGGTTAGTGCTAAGACAGACAAGAAGCATCTCTGGAAACCAGAGGACTGACTGGGAACAGCGCTGCTGCCTGCTGAGCCATAGAAGCTGAATTCCTTAAAGTGCTAAATTCATTCTACTGACTGCTGCCTTATGCGATGGATGGGTGAGCCAAGAGAAGCTGCAACGAGCGGACTTGTCTTCAATACAGCCTTATCTCAGTCAAAAAGTGCTTCATTCATTTTCTCCCTCAGTGCTATTCCCAGTTTCCATCTGTAGCTTCCCCAGATGTTGGGGCCCATGAGCGAGATTATTCCCTCTATGGGCTGATGATGACCTTTGTGTTTTCCATGAAGTAAACCAAGTTTAAGTCTACCACATGAAGCATATAATTCAGCTGGACTCAGCCAAATCAATGTCAAGAGTAATAACAAAAGTGATGGAAATTCAAAATGTCGTTCTTCTCTTCACTCTGGGTACATTTTCTGTTGAATTAAAAAGGAAACTTTGGATACTGTTATTTTTATGTTTTGCTCTGCTGGCCTCTGTATGTAATTACTTTCAAGCTATTCGCTTTTGGAATTGCTGCAGGATCCACCAGTTTCCCTGGTCCCTACTCCATGTCCTTAACAGCTGGTCTAGTTTCTTGCCTGGTCCATTCCTTTGCCCTCTGTAACACCCAGCAGGTAACTACCTGTTTCTCAGCCTGCTCCCTACACTCAAGTAGCTGGTTGTGGTTGGAGAAACAGCCTTGGGAGCAGTTAAACAATTCAACTTTCGACCACAAATTTCATCACGAGCTTTCAACTCTGGTAAGCAGCTTTATTGATTTGTCTCATAAATTAGCTCTACTAACTGGGAAGAGAAGACACATTTTAAACTTTCTCCTGTCTATTCTCAGCTCATAGCTTTACCTTTTAAAATTCTTTAAATGTATATTTTTATAAAAAATGTGCAGCGGTTCATGAATGCATGTATCTTTGTGCAGTCATTGCTCATTTTCTCGGTGTTGCGGCTATTTTAGTGCCTGTGCTGTGAAGCAGGTGCGTGGCCGCCCTTTCATTTCACTGTGAAATGGATGGGCCCAAAGAAACCACAGCCATGGGTCTGCCTGACTCACCAGTTTTGTTCCTTGCTGCTCAACCTTGCATTTCATCTTACCAAGATGCTGTGATATTTTTAATCAAGAGAAACTCCCTTGAGTCCAGATACCTTCCAGTTATCATATATTTGTTCCACTTTATAGCAAAACTTAGTGCTTATCTCTACTTCCTCACCCTCCACACAGCTACTCAACCCACTTCAGTCCTGGTCCCTGATGACATCGCTGAAAATGCTTTTGTCATGGTTTCCAATAAAAATCTCATTGTGTCCACTAGTGATTGCTGTTTTCCAGTCTACTCATCTCTCATAAGATCCTGAGACAGGTGACCGCTCCTTCCTTCTTGATGCAATTTCATCAGGTCAGTCCTGACTTTTCCTCCATCCTCCCTGACTGTGCTCTGCATGCTCCTTTCCTGGCTAGTTCTTCCCTCCTGGTAACTAAATATTGGAGGGCGGCTGTCTCTGTGCTTGGCTTGCTTCTCTTTATTTGCATTCAGCAGCCTTATCCAACCTAGTGCTTAACTGCCACTGCTCCACAGACAGGCCTCCCTTATTTCTCCAGTCCTAGCCTCATCTCTACTTGACAGGCACTTCAAATGTAACATTGAAATGTCAGCATTTAGCTTTCCCTCTCATAGCCCAGGTCTGCTCCTAATTCATTCCATTTTTATTAAATGGCACTATCATCCTCTCGAGTCATTTAAAGAATCATCTTTGGCCCTTCCTGTGGTGCAGTGGGTTGAAGCACAACTCTATGAAGCTATCACGGCCACTGCAACATGAGTTCAATCCCTGGCCAGGGAGCTGACCCACATGGCATGGCAGAGCCCTCCTGTCCCACCTGCTGCTCCCCTCAGCAGTGTGGTTCAGTACATCTGCCTGTTCTGCTCCCCACTCTGTCTCTGGCGAATCCTCTCACCCCCCACACCTCTGACCTGTACCTAGTCCTGTATGCATAAATAAATCTTTTTTAAAAATCATCCTTGATTCTTCCCCATCCGTGTGCTCCCAGTCCATCAGAAAGTTCTGTATCTTAAATTGGTCCATTGTTCTCTGTTCCACTATTTTACCTTCAGTTAAAACTTCTTTTTAATGGAGAGACTGCAATAACTCTCATGGGACTTCCTGTATCTACTCTTGCTTTTATTTCAACCCATTCTTCACACAACAAAGTGGTTTTTTAAAATGTAAATTATATTTTTCGCTTCATTGTTGTGCCTTACCACCACATTGAGAATACAATCCAGACGTTTGGCCCTGCTGCCAAAACCCACGTGGTTTGGCCCCTATCACGGGTTTGACTACATACACTCCAACTGTGCGATCCTTCATTCTCCTCAGGCATTAGCACTATACATGGTGGCTCTTCCTTGTTCAGTCCTTGTTTAAATGTCAAAGGATGGAATGATGTGAGTAAGAAAACTAATCCCAGAGCCAAAGGCTTCAGATTACTCTTTCAGGATGATCAATGACCAGGAAATCGGTAGAGGTTGGAAACAAGAAATTGGTACAACGAATTTCAAATTAGGTACGTTGAAAGGGTGGAGAAGAGATAATAGGGAGTGAACTGGGGACTACCATCTCCATCTTTGAGCACTGTGGTATGCTGGGATGCTGGAAAGAGGGTTGTTTGTGGGGCACCCAACTTCCTGGTGAAGGGAGTAGGCTGAGACTATTTACCATATGAACGGTTTAGGAGGAGGGAATCAGTGAGAGATGGTGAGGAAACAATATAATATGGAGTCAGGAAGAGATGAGAAGACATGTTGTGTGTTGGCCAAAGATGATACAGCAGAGAAGCTGGGTGGGCCCAAGGAAATCAAGATTATTCTATATGGCAAAAAATACTGGGGATAGATTTGAAATATATTCAGGATACAATACGAGTAGGTCATTGTGAATGTGAAAGACTTGCTGTTTGTGAAAGGACTCCTGAGTTGGCCTCTTAATTTTAAATGACTGTTCCTAACTTTTAAGTAGACATACTTCCTAAAACTGTTTTCTTTAAAATGCTTTTATTATGCATAGATACTGTTTATAAAATGCCATTTTAATATATACTGGAGCCATTATATGGTTTCCCTTATTCAAGCTATTAAAGTAGTGTTTTCATAGATTTTCCTATGTTGAATTATTAATTTCTGTAGTTATTACTGCTTGTGATATTTTTTTGAGTGTTTTTTTTTTAAAGATTTATTTATTTGTGCATACAGAACTGGGGTGCAGGCCAGAGGCTCAGGGGTGGTGAGAGGCTTCACCAGAGACAGAGTGGGGAGCAGAACAGGCAGATGGACGAAGTACACTGCTGAGGGGAGCAGCGGGCAGGTCAGGAGAGGTCTGCCCCGCCATGTGGTCACCTCCGGGGCAGGCGGGGATCGAACTCATGCAGAAGTGGCTTTTTTTTAGATTCTCAGTGCTGTGCTTCAACCCGCTGCGCCACCAGGGAGGGCCTGCTTGTGATATTTTAATGTATTATTGATTTTGCAACAAAGGCAAATATTTCATTATGTTAACAGCTGTCACTAAAATTGTAAGTGAGGGATGCTCTTTCTCTAGGAATGTTTTTTAAAGATACCCTGTGAAGTGAGACCCCAATAACATTGTCAGCAGGGCCACCACGTTAATCAGTGAACACTTAACGAGCATTTACTGGAGTGTGTGACACTGTTCTAGGTTCCAAGAATATTCAGTAGAACGAGATTGGGGGGGGGTGGTCCCACTTTTGTGGAGCTCGCATTCCAATTATATATATATATATAAAAGTAACCAAGACAATCATAACTGGTGCTATTTTGATAATACAGCCACTGAAAACCTCTCAGAGGAAATACCACTGGAGCAGAGGCCTGAATTAAAGGAAGGCAAATGAAGCGATAATGAGACTACTTTGTATAAAAAAATGTAATCAATTTATTTTTGAATCAGATAAAGAGAGGGTAGAGGGAAATGACGCAGAAAGGGGGGAGGGTGGGGCCGGTAATCAGCACTTTTGGGAAGAATCAAGCTGAGGTTGTCTGGCCAGGAAGACATACTCCACAGAGGGTAACAAAAGTGACTGATAAGAAAGTTGACGTTTTTCACAATGTGGAGTCTATTGTGATCCTCTCAGAGACTCTTACATTTTATTTTTTATAGTGGTAATATTTGTTTACAACAATGTAAGACCCCTACATTTTTAGCAGAAGCAATGCAATAAGCAAAACCCTGTTTCATGAGATCAAGGAGAATAGACTGAGACTTGTCCTGTGGCGGAGAAAGAAAGTCACAAATATGAAAGAGCAGAAAATATAAACTGGCAAGAAGAAAAAATCAGAGGTGACAGAACATAAGCCACTTAAAGAATTTGGGTTGATTTTGAAAGTTCTAATGAGATTGGAGGCATGAGGGAAAACTTAACACAATTTATACAAATCTTAAGGAATGCATGGATTTTTCACCTACAATTTATATTGCCAAGGGTCGATAACAGTGACTTTCTTGGTGCTCAAACAGAGGCATGCATTGCTCAATGATGGATACACTCTCAGATCTCGCATCATTAGGTAATTTTCTCACATGAACACCAGTGAATGAGTATCATTACACAAAGTCTACTACGCACATAAGATGGTGTTGCCTACTAGGATCTCCTTGATACAGGTGGCCTGCCACTGACTGAAATGGTAAGTGAAATGTGACTGTATGTACATGAGTAATTTGGTGACTCAGTCTTAAAGTCTTAAATTTTTGTATTAGGAATTCTACTGTGTAGATGCTATGTAGTTTATAAAATCTAACCTCTATACTAAAAATGATGTGATTGTACTAATATTTCAATTTAATTCATTGTCAATTTATTTTTAGTACATTTCCTTTTGTTGTCTGAGGCCATGATCTTGGGCATGTTTAGGCTCAGTATCATGGTTTTTATATGCAGCAGAGTTTATACACTTCTAAAAAGTTTGTACACTTCTATGGGACTGGATGAGCAAGCAGAGAAGGCAACAAAGGACAGAAAAGGGATGAGGTCTAGGTTTTGGAAAGAGAAGAAAAAACCAGCAGAGGTGACTTGAGTGGCTGTGAAGAGGCAGCATAAAATTGTGGTAGTCATGGGCGGTGTTAGAATATGTGTCGAGTATGAGAGAATCACATGAAGTACATCTTAGACACTAAGAGAAGGGAGGGTGTCTCCAAGAGAATGCGTCCAGTGTTAATTTGAACTAAGGAAAGGCATGTGGTAATGGGGTCAACATATTTCTAATTTTTTAATGAGTTAATCTATAACACATTAAATTATCTTGGTTTTAAAGAAAATATTCACTTTTTTGTCATTTGTTCACTTCATCATGGGATTGACACAAGCTATGCAACTTTTGTCGCCAGACACAGCATGGATGGAGGGGAAATGCTCTCAAAAATCAGAATTTCCACGCTAACTTATGTTATTACCTCCCTTTTTTGTATAAACATAATATCAAAATATTCTGAGCAATCCAGTTGGCAACTGGATTGCCTCAGCCTCATAAGGTGCTGCCTGGCCCAGACATGCAAGCACTGCACCAAGAAGAGAAATTCCTCTTGAAGTCAAAAGTGATCTTACAATTGGCTGGTTAATAAAAGCAATTGGCTATTACAGCAAAGTCAATATTGAGGCAGTACTGGAATATATTCTTTTACTGCCCGGAAGGAGGAGAACCCAAATCTCACCACTCTGCTATCCCCCATAGCCTTCTATTCAGTTTCTAAAGAACCACTCAAATGTTCTACTATCTAGTCTTTAGATACTAAAGAAATTCACCAAAGTCTCCTTTTCAGGGCTAATTAAGTTTTTTACTGTCTAGACTTCAAGGAAATTCACTTAAACTTTCTAACTAGTTTTCAAAGAACTTTACTGTATTTCCTTTTGTAATTTGATTTGCAAGAAAATTTCCTCTTCCTGCTCTCACTTTACTTTACCCCTAGGATATCTCAATGAGAATGAAAGCCATTAAGTTGCAGGTAAGGTTGAAGGGACTTTATTTTGGTTAATCTTCACTGTGGTATATATAGTAATATTAGTCTTAAATTTTGTAAATCTGTGTACCTGTTTTAACTTTGATAGATTGATTTTTTAAATGTTAAGATTGATTTTTTAAATGTTATAATCTCAACTAAAGGTCAGTATGACCCTAGACTATTCTTAGAGAAAAGGTGATCGTGATCTCAGCCCATTTCATATGCTAATGTCATCCTACTGCCTGCTGGAAATGTATAAAATAAACCTCTGCTGAAGGCAGAGCAGGAAGACTTGCACACAACTCTGATTCCTGCATCTTCCTCAAGACTGCTCCCCTTTTTCCTCTTTCCCCCCTTTTCCCCTTTTTTTCTAGGAATCTCCACTTGCCAATGTGCTCCCACCTTAAGACCCTGCCTGTTCTGCTCCCCAACAACCCGTGATTGGGGTCAGTCTCCGACATGGGATGTTATGATTATGAAAGATTAAAAAATTATAATTTCAAGAATCGAAAGTATAACCCTTGTTAACTTTTTCTAAGATAAAATCAGGGAAGAAAACAGTGGATACTTATCACGAGTACCCTGTGTGAGGTTTTTTTCTTTTCTTTTTTTTAGAGATTTATTTATTTATGCTTATAGAACTGGGGTACAGGCCAAACGTGTGGTAGGTGAGAGGATTCACCAGAGACAGAACAGAACAGGCAGGTCTACTGAAATACACTGCTGAGGGCAACAGTGGACAGATCTTGAGAGGTCTGCCATGCCATGTGGGTCAGCTCCCTGGCTGGGGATCGAATTCATGCTGCAGTGGCTTCTGAGAGCTTCATAGTGCCGTGCTTTAACCTGTTGAGCCACCAGGGAGAGCCCTTATGTGAGGTATTTTTCAACATTTTTCAACTTCATTACAACTATGTGATTTCAGTCAGTGGGTTTTTTTATATGCTGACACCCATGAGTCTAACTGGTAATGTTTCCTTAAATCATGGCACTTAGAAAAGCCATGAGGCATCGTCTGGCTCACCTCAATCAGTTAACAAAGGCAGCCTTTGCCACGTGGGATGGTAGACATAGCTCTAACTTACCTATTCCCGCTTCATGAGGGAGGAGACTAATGCTGAGATTAGTAATTTTCATAACATCGTACTGCTAACAAGTGGTCAAGGCAAGAGTTGAAAGCCTGTGTACCTCATATTTGGGGATTTTGAATAGGCCATGATGAATAGGACAGCTTCACTAGTGAACACAGAAAACTATACTTTTTTTCTTTGCATGGAACATACATGAAAGAATACACCTTAAAATATAGCTATGTTCTTATATTTTATAGAATTTACAGTGATTTTTTTTCATATTTTCTGACTTTTCTCCACGTTCATGTAACTTTGAGATAATTTTTAAAAATAAAGGAAATGTTCTAAAACAAATCTTACTAACAGCTAATGGTAGCAAGTATTGCAAAAAAAATTTTTGTTTTTCACATAAATATAAAATTGACTATTCTTTATAAAGTGCTAAAAGATATGCTGTTCTTGAAATATAAGGACAGTTATATCATTAAAAATAATTTTTATGTATCAAATGATCCATTAACAATGAAATCTTATATTTTGTGAACAAAACAATAACTTACAGCGTATGTAGTTGTGCCCAGCCCATCATAATACATTACTCCTAGCTGGTAAATTGCTTGATGATCACTTCCCTTGATTTCTTCAAACTGTTCTAATGCTTCTTCATACCATCCCTATAAACTCCAGAAGAGAGTGAGTTGTTCTTACTATGATCGCAAAATAATCCCGAATGTTTAATTCCCTGTTAAATCTGATTTAGGAGCATCAAATAAAATAGGCACCCCTCCCCCCCCAAAAAAAAAGCAACAAACTTTTTGGAATTTGCAAACAACTAATTGACAACAATCAACAGTATGAAATAAAATAGTCTTAAATATGGCAACTGAGGGAAGTGACCAGAGGAACGGAGGAGAGGCCCGTTGGCTATTACCAAGCCTCTCTCTGAGTGGTAACCTAACCCTACGCTCAGCCCAGACTGCTGTACCACCTGATAGCCCATGATGTGACTATCAGGTTATCCACAATTACTAAATATCTACTGTTACTTGGGCTCATGACTGCCCATTTTTCAGTTTTCCAACTAAAGAGAAGACATGGAAAAGCAATTACCAATTCAAACCTACATGGTAGGTGCCAGTCGAGATGCCTCAGCAATTGCGTGGTCTAATAACAAATATGTTAAGGTAGAAGGGACTAACATGGGGCTTACCTATTAACCCACCAAGGGAATGCCTGCCATTATAAATGAGTCACTCAGTAGAGGAAAAGAAAGTCTCTACTGAAATAGGTAGTTGTTGCTAGGAAGAGCAGGACAGAGGAAAAATAACTTATGGAAAACAAAATAATTTCTCTTTCCGAAAACTGTAATTAATAAAATTAGTAAAAGCACAAAAATACCAACAAGTGCTTATTTTAAGAACACACAACAATGAATGGATGAGTTTCATTTGCCTTTTTGACTAATGTTTGCCCAGGCTGTAGGAGAGCTAGAAGTCAGTATATTCTATACAGAAGAGAAAGGAGGAGGGTGTTTAGCTTCCATGACTTTAAATACCATAACTTTGCTGGAAAATCTTAAATATAAATTACCAGCCCAGCCCTTCAGATCTGGGCTTTCACATGTGAATTTGTACTTTGAACCCATCCCCTTGAATGAATAATGGGCATCTCAAACACAGCATGTTTGAACTGAATTCTGATCATCCCCTCCAAACGCATTCCTCCCTTCTTCCCCGTTTTTTTCAGTCCATGGTGCCATTATTTATGCCTCCAAAATAAAGCCAGGCTTCAGCCCCACTGCACTCTGGTCAAGGTCTCTCACCTGAACAAGTGCAACTTCCCCCTGAGCTGGCCCTGGTTCCAGGCTTGCATCTAATTCATTTATTGCACGCTCAAAGTCCTTCAATAGCTTCCATTACATCTTAAAGCTCATGTAGAGCCATTCTCTGCCTTATTATCAATCACATTGGCTTCTCAATTCTAGAACTCATACCCTCCTGACTTGTTGCAGCTGTTTTCCCCTGTACCTCTGTGCACTTCCCCTCGGCTGTTTGCATTGTTCACTGTTCTTCAAATGTTAACGCCCTATCTCTAGTCAGCCTCTATACCAGTACTCAGTTAATTGCTTTCATAGTGCTTCTCCTTATTTGTAATTATATGTTAACTTACTTGCTACTAGACTATAAACTTTAGGAAATGGGTGGCATGCTAGTTACCTCATTCACAAACAATGCTTAGCATAAAAATAGCAAACACTTATAAAGCACTTGTGAGAGATCAGGCTCCGTTGGTAAGTATTTTGGTAATTAGGATATCCTCACCACAGCTCTATGAAACATATTATTACACCTTTTTTACAAATAAGGAAAATGAATTATTAAGAAGTGTGTCCATGGCTACACAGTTAACAAGCAATAGAACCAAATCTGAGCCAAATTTGAACCCATCCTCAAAAGCGAGGGATTGCTCTTACCCATCATGCTATGCTCAGAGTGACACAGGAGAGATGCATGTTGGGTTCTCATGAGCAGCATGAGTGAAGGTGCCAGCAAAAAATTGGAGAATAAGTGGAATGGACTTGCCCAAATTTTATGCAGTGGATGAGAGGGTGTGGGACAATGCTTTCCTTTCCACATCTCTTGGGATTCACTGAAGAATTGAACTGTGTTACTGAAAGTGGAGCAATCTTTTGAGTAGTCCCTCCCAGGTCTCCCCCCGAAGAATATTCGACATAATGTGGATAAAGAGGCCACCCCCTTATTCACTCTATAGGGAAACATATAGAACTGTCTGCATGTGCTACAGAAAACTCAAGAGCCTCAATTGGTTCCTTACATGAAAATACTGTATGAATATTTGTATAATATTTTCAATATTAAATATTTGTAGCAAAAATATAAAATTTACAGACTTAATGTATAGAGCAAAAGTGGATTTTATACCAAATGACTCCTGTAAAAGACATTTATCAGAGTACTTTCATCAAGAAATTTCAAATACTGCCTTAAACTAGTACCAGTGTATCATAATTAAAACCGTAAATATATCTATGGAATTTGACAGAATTCCCCCGGTATAATGTGAGGAGCACTATAGGACGTTTTGCTATGAGAATCTAACAGCAGCATTATAGGGAATGAAAACAAAAATAGGGTACCTCTTCAAAATATAATTGACCTCGTAGAAAATATGCCATAGCATCCCCTCTTTTTATTCTTTCCTTCAAGAGCTGCAACGCCTTATCCACCAAACTAGCATGACTGTAACGATCTGATTAAAAAAAAAAAAGGTAAGGAACTCCATCTTTAATCAAACATACTATTTTCTTCTAAAATTAAATTATATAGAATTAATTGAACATAAAAACTAGCTTCTTTCCTAGTTCTCATTCCTAAATCTTGGCCTCCTTGGCTCAGGGAAAAAGAATTACAAAACAAGCAACCCCATTGTCACAATAACTAATGCTGTGCGTTGTATAATCAAGGAATATTTGTTGATTAGTTTTCCAGTTGACTATGTTTATTGCTACCCGGCAGGAATTCTGGCAATGATGTCTGTGTGTAGTTCTTTGGCAAAGCTGTCCTATGGTGAGTGAAATTCTTCATTTACACCTTCATTAAAGCCACTCTAAGCATGCGTCAGCTACCTCCAATTTAACTTTTTAAATCTAATTAAAAAAAAAAAAGCTTTAAATTGTATTAGCATGACATTCACTTTAACAAAAGTGTCACCTAGCCTCTCTTTTCCAGAAGGGGAAAAGCACTTCTCTGATATACATAATAAACTTTGGTGTAAATATTGTACCAGTATTTTCCTTTTTCCACTGGAAGAGTTTTTGGTTCTTAGCAGTATGCTGAGATAATGAAGCATAGTAGGGACTCTTGGGCAACTTTTCACTGGTCAACTTCATCCTCTTTCCACTGTGTGTGTTCTGTAAACAAAACAAGACATAAAGTGGGAGAAATATCTTCCTCCAGAAAGGTGCAGAGGAGACTTCATTCCCAAACTTGCTATAAAAAGCAACCTCCCTTCATTGCCTAGTAATAAGATACCAAACTTTCAACTCTGGGATGTGAATATTCTTTCCTGGGAAACTGGGACCAGCACAGCTATGAGAGAAACTCAGCCATCCTCCACGCCTGTCTCCACAGCGAGGGAGTTAGTGTCTCTGGCAGTGAGCTCACACGCTGCAATGGGACACATCACCCGGCACAATCACTGCCCCTGTGGAACTGGTGAGGCTGCCACAGACAGTTCTTACACATGCTGGTGGCTTCCTGTGGCCTTGTACCTGAAGCTCACCCCAGTCATCCATTTTTAATGGAAGCACCTGTCTGTCATACCTAGGAATCCACTTTATTTTGCTTGTGCTCCATTTTATCTCCCCATCTATATTGGGTTGCCATGTTAGAAGACGGATCCCAGTTGAATGGAAAATCAGAGCCTTCATATAAAATGTAGAGGCCACCTAATTTGAGATGAAGGAGTCCAGGTTGGCCTAGGCTGAGCGTAGTGAGATAGCAAACTGAGTTGTTGCTATGCTTTTTGTTGATTCCTTGGCATTCTGTTGTTAACAGCTGACTGTCACCAATGAGGGACAAGCTTCCAGTAAAGGTTCCTGATTGGTGGTGACAAGAAGAACTCAAAAGAACTTTAGTGTGATTGGAAAACTACATTATACAATTATAAGAAACTATCTAGGAGATCAAATTTTATCATTAATGAAGTACAGAAAAGGAAGATAATGTAGTCTAGGGAAAAAATTCACTGAGTTATCTTTGTGGTTTTGGAAGTCATTTGTTGAAAAGTCAATTTCCTCATCTGTAACTTGGACTCTTAAGTAGTTTGAACTAGTTCAGCATGTTCCTGAGTCTATAAAATTATTCTATGTAAAAATTTCTAATGAGTTTTAAGGCGAAGCTGTATTAGGCACAGTATTTAGAAGAAAACAACCTACATAGGATGATGTAGCCAGCAAGCACTATGAGTTTACTCAGAAGCAATGTAAAAGTGTTTTCATTGACAACATTAACCCCAGGGTGCTACTAGCTCCAAACAGGCTAAAAAACTTGACATATTCTAGGTCATCTGAGAGGAAACAAATCAGAAGACATGACCTTACCTCCTCTACACTCATTTTGCCCACAGCACTTAGACCTTCACACTCTTTTTGTTGTCAGCTTCAAAGTTGGAGAGGGTCTAGAAAATGTAAACAAAGAATTATTGAGCTCTTTCTAAATGCGACTTTTCTTTGTTCTAAGTGTTTACAGACAACTAAGAGAACATGAAATAGGGACTATTTGGGGGGCCCATTTAATGTATGAGAAAACAGGAGCAGTGAAGAAATTAAGGAAATTTCTGAGGCGACAGTGAGGAAGTGGGGCCCCCACACTTCATTATTATTCTACACTGCTCTCCTGTAAGAAGATAAATCAAAATTTAGAAGTTTATAATTTTAAAAAATAAGAACTAAAGAACATTGGTATATGTCTATTTCTGCCAAATCTTTGATTAGATGTGAATCACTATGTGAAATATACCAGCTGTTTGTATAACATGAGGTAACTAGAAAATTCTGTATAGGCATCAATTATACACATCTGAAAGAAATCTACGATTTTAAAGGGAAGGGAACGCTGATGGTACCCTGTCCAGATCTTCTTTACCAGTTAATTTTCCAGAACTTCTAAAACATATACTACACAATATGACACCAGTAGTCTTTGTTTTATTCTAGATTTCAACTAGAATACTTCTTCTCTGACCATACTTTCTCCCTGTTTAGCCCTAAATTGAAATCTGTATCTTCCCTGCACAAGACACAACTTACCCTCAAGCGCTTTAATATTCAGCTTTCAATCCTACCCCACATACCTCAGGCCTGCACCGTGGGTGTTTATTTTGCTCCCCATTGCTTTTTCTAAATCAGTTTTTTAAGAATGATTTATTTACTTATGCTTACAAGAATTGGGGTACAGTCCAAAGGTGCAAGGGGTTGGGGGAGAGGATTCACCTGAGACAGAATGGGGAGCAGAACAGGCAGACAGACTGAAATATACTGCTGAGGGGAGCAGCAGGCAGGACTGCTGTGCCATGTGGGTCACCTCCCTGGCGAGGGATTGAACTTGTGCTGCAGTGGCTGCAGAGAGCTTCATAGTGCTGCGCTTTAACCTACTGCACCACCAGGGAGGGCCCTAAATCACTCTTCCTCCTCAGTACTTCACAGTCTCTAATCTTTGAACCTGAAGTCACCTGACTACTCCAGCACCACACACAGGTTTGCAGGTCCCTTTGACACAGGCCTCACTCCCAGGCTAGCACCTGCTCCTCTCACCACTATAACTACAAGAGCATTAGTTCTTTTGTACCAATTAGCTTTTAGAAATCCAGAAAACAAATATCTAATCAACAGCTAAAATTCACTTCATTTACTTCTGGATTTGTGTGAATCCCTTCAGGAAAGGGCCAGGTACACTCACTGCCTGAAAAGGCTTCCACAAAACAACACCAGGACCGTGAGGCCTATGAATCCCACGTGATGGCACTAAGATTCTGAAAAATAGGTCCTTTTAAAGCTACTTCATTTGGAGAAGAATAAAATACAAAGCTATTAGAGCTCTCCCACCCAGTACTTAGATTTTCTGCTAGTAAAAGACATCCTGTCTTCTCCCATACCGTACCCATCATTTCAGAACCTGATGTTCTAAATGTACCGCACACCCGAAAGGGAGGGCATGGGAGAAAGTAACTGGTTTTAAATAAACAAATGGTCCTAGAGCAGAAGGGAAAAAGATAAAGAAAAAATAGAAAACCAGTGTCCCATTCAGTATTGTCTTTTGAGAGCTCAGTAATATTTATCATATGCCCCTAAGTTTTCATGACATGTGTATGCTTTGTGCCTCCAGTTAGGATATGGTATTGTTTTTCATGTTTACCATTAGGTGAGCATAGCCAAAGGAACAACAATAATAAATACAAGTATTGGTACTTTTGACCAGGAACTGATGACAGGAACTTCAATGTTGAGCCTCAATTTGTAAGAAATGTTAAGTAAATATTTATTATTTTAGTATTGTGTTAGATTACTAATTCACAGAAAAATACTTAGAAATATCAGCAAATATAATTAATAACAAAGCCTCAGTCAAAAGCTAGGTGAAATATGTAGGGTTCTATTTTTACAGTCTAGTATCTGAAACTTTAGGGCCAGATATATGTTAAAATTCAGAATGTTTGCATTTTGTGAAGGTCATAACATACATGAATATCATTACATATTGCATATGTATACTCTAGTGGAGGACACCCTTGGTGTGGTCTAGGATAATATACTTTCACCATAATAATATTTTTACAGTCAAATGTATTATTTTTCACACTATATGGATTAATACACACTAAAGCTAGTTTCACATAAATGTAGGTCAGATGACCTTGATAAGATATTGTGTCCCTGTAAATTTCTCAAAATCTGTAATATAATTATGAAATTACAAATTTTTTGTTATCCACAGGTGTCCAGAGAAAATGTACTTTATCATCATCTACAACTGTCTTGCTCTTCCCTGTAACTTCTTTACATTGCTGTATAATTGAGGCAATTTTGACTTAATAATTAAAATATTTCATTTTCTTTCCACTAAAATAATTGAAACATTCTATCTTTGGTATCTAGGATTATGAGGAGAATATAGGATTCCTCTTGGCTGTAGGAGTAGATGCTTGGGATCCTGAATGAGCTCCGCAAAAGGCATGGTGGTGGTCCTGGGGTGCCTGGCCTCAGAGGCTTTCTTGAAGGTAACACGCTGACGCCCAGTGCTCAGGCTCAAGGTCTTTAACATTTACCAGAGTTAGCTTTTCACCTCTCATCCTGACGCCAGGTCTTTGCTAGTTGTTTGTTGCCTTTAGCAGTTCAGTCCAGGGACTGAACTGAGCCCATGAACTCTCATGTGCCAAGAACCATCCCTAATCCAGGAGCACCACCTCAGGCCATCACCCCGCTTCCCAGTTATGCTGTGGGGAGTGTGGTGCAAACAAGAGTCTGTGGTTCTTTCAGAGACTTGTAGCCTTCAACTAGAGCTGGAGAAGCAAGCCACTGGATCTGAACTTTGTCCTGCTTGTCAGAATGTCTCTCCGCCAGTCTCTCAACCTAGGCTCTGAGGCAGGGAGGGAACAAACCCTTGGAATATAACTTCCTCACTCCACAGCTCTCACTCTTTTCCTCCAGAGTCCCATGGAGCTGGAAGGGGTGGCGTGACACATTAGGGACAAGGAAACAGATGTGGTAGTCACATGGATAGCCAGAGCCACACGGATAGCCAGGTACTTGGAATGTCCCTGTAGTATGAAGAGAAGCCTTACGTTAATTTGAATATCCCTAGGCTCTGTGGCACAGCTAGAAACAAGAGTGACAAGGTGTTATCTATGTGACAGGAAGCCAGTAATTGCCTAATGTAAGCCTGCTGAGCAGATCTTGTTTTAAAGGAAAAGGGTGAAATGTGGGTGCATGTTCATGGCATAAATGGCCCATTGAGTATGTTAACTGCAATGCAAATGTGTAGAGCTTTAAGAATTGTAATACCTAGTATTAGTTAGGAATTCCTGAAAAAAAAAAAGAACAGCTGTATAAACTTGAAGCTTAATATAAATGCTTTAAAGAAAGTGCTCACCTAACTGATAAACATGAGATAAGGGAAACTGACAATATGAACCTGTGTTCTTATATATATATATGTATATATATATATATCTCAGACATTCTTTAAATACCATAAGGCATGAGGAAGAGTTTAAATATAAAAATACAAAACACAAAAATGATTCTATATGTGTTTGAAATAAATGTATTTACATTTAGTCAAGTATGCATATGAATGAAAATGTTTAAAACTACCCCTTGGATCCGATCATAAGTACAGTAATATAAATTTATTATTGTGTAATTTTTTGGTGGCTTTATTACAAATAAACACTGTAGCCAAAATTAGAATTGAAAGTCGACTTTAGAGGGCAATCAGCTTGTCCTCTAAAAGCATAATAGTAAACATCTATTTTTCCACCCAACATTTAAAAGTATCAGTATATAGAAAGGGACTCACTTATAATTTTAAGGAAAGAAAATAGATGGTTAAAGCTTTAGTTTTTAGGTTAATTTGAACAAGGCGTTTTTCGGAGGGCAGATGTAACAGGGTGTAAAGTCTAGATTAGTTGTAAAGTCCAGATGTAACAGGGTGGTTCCCAGGAAAAGAGGCGGTTCCAGAGACGAGACATGTGGTCACTGACTGCCCTTATGTCCACGTATTTCTACATTTTTACTAGAAGGAATGACAAGGTGTCGCCAGAGCATCGTCAACCCTGCCCACCGGGGAGGAGCCCCATAGGGCCTAAAAAACCACAGCCTGGCCCTTGACTTAGTCAGGAGCTCTCCCCACCAAGTGTGAGGTCAAAAGCGCTTTATGCCAAAGCAAGCTCTCCTTCACTGACTTGGGCTCCCGACCTCTCCCCAGGCAACAAGACCAGCATTGTGCTTTAATCGATCGCCATTAGGGAGCGTTTCCAATTGTTGCCCCTTTTTAAAAAAGGGTTCTTCAACTTGGCCATGGCATAATCTTGAACCCCAAAGGGTCTAGCATGAGATTTTGTGGCCGGGGTGGGTGGTCCCTGTGGTGACACCTATCTCCCTTTAGATGATCATTAACTGCCCCTCCAAGCCTCCAGCTCCTTTTCCTTGGAGAAGTCCAAGGCGAGCCTGGGTTTTGAACTGCAGGCAGAAGTAGCTCATTCCTCAGCGGCTAGGGGTGGAGGAAGCGGCGGATCCCCGCACCGCCCGAGGCTGCTTCTGCAGGGTTTGACGCTGGAATGCTCAGGCAAGCTCCTCCGTTTCCTGGTTACGTGCGTGCGAGCAGAAGCCAAAACCTCGGGCCGCGACGCCCGCTTCCCTGAGGGACTGAAAGGCAGAGCACGCTGGAGTGAGACGTGTGGAACAGAGCGCGGCTCATGGCGGCGCCAGAGCGCCCAGCCTCAGGCCGCCCGCCCTCCCTCGGCGCCCGTCGGCCTCCTCAGCTCCCGCGAACGTCTGTCTTGGAGGCGGCTTGGGCTCCGCCCCCAGGGGGAGGGCCTAGCGCTCCGAGCTGGCCAATGGGCTGGCAGACTCGGGCCGTCGCCCCGCCCCACCCGCTGTCTCCCGGGGTTCCCCTGACCACGTGTCAGTGTTTGTGTACGTGCGGCTGCTACTGGGCGGGGAAAGGCCCCCGAAGCCAAGGGTTGGGCTGCTGGGGCCCGGCCAGAACTGGGGCGCGGCGGTGGGGGCCCGCCCGACTGCCTGGATGAGCTTTAAATTCTCCCATACTTGGGCGGGTTGAGCTATCGTACCTGCCGGTCTCCCGCGATTGCCGCCGCTCTGCGCTCCCGCGCACGCCCGTCTTCGGCTTCTGGGGAAAGATGCTGTTGCTGGATTGCAATCCAGAGGTGAGACTCAGGCCCGCCCCCCACCCCTTAACACCCCCTTCCCTGCAGCCCTAAGCTTGCGGGTGTCTCTTCTTGGGAGTGCCGGAGAGGGTAACAGTGGACTGGTCAGTGGGCACTGCCGAGTCAAGCTCCTTCAGAACTGTAAAGTTTGGGGAGTGGGGGAAGACTTTCAACCCCGGGAGGACTTGGGACAAAGGGGTGGATTGCTGGAGCTGTTCTCTTCTCCCAGGTGGACAGTCTGCAGCACTTGCTGGAGGCTGGGACCTCGGTCAATGCTCCCCCGGACCCCTGCGAGCAGTCGCCTATCCACTTGGCCGCAGGTGGGGGCCTGGCTTGCTTGCTTCTTTGGCAGCTGCAAATGGGCGCTGACCTCAACCAACAGGTAACTAGGTAACGGATTGTTGCTCTGTGCAACCCTCTTCTCCACCCCAAGTCCACACAAGCATTTCATGAGTGACAAAATGTTTCAGTTGTTATAAACAAGTCTTTGGCAGTGATGGACAAAGTAATAATTTTTTTTTCTAGTAGCCACCTTATTGTAAAAAAATGGAACATGAAATTGATTTGAGTAATTTAACTCAATTTATTCACATTTCAATATAAAGCATTTTTACATTTTCTCAATTTGGTATTTTACACTTACAGCACTTCAGTTCACACTGGCCACATTTCCGGTGCTCATTAGCTGTATGATGGACAGCACACATCTGTTTATTTCGAAAGGAACAGTTATCACAGTTGCAAAATTAAGACTCTCAATAAAACAATTGAAATAACTTGTCAGGCACTCCCATACCATTAGTTTCCTACAGAAGTTTCTTAGAGTAGCTTGAATCTTCCATTGAGTAGTCAAATACAGTGAATTTTAGTTTGTAAGTTGCTTTTCTTCTGTAGTTACTTAGCTTTTCCATGTAAAATTTCACTTAATGCATATGGAAGTGTCCATACACATTTCTATGTAAACTTTGGGTTTAACTGCACACTAAAAGTTAACTTTATTTAAAAAATACAAACTTTTGAAAATTTTATTCCAGTAAATGCAGTCCCAGCTGGCCTCCTCAAGTACTTTTTAGGTATCACCCATCAACCTACACAAGAAAGTGTTTGGGGAGAAACTATAATGTGCTTTCTTATCCTTAAGGATGTTTTAGGAGAAGCTCCCTTACACAAGGCAGCAAAAGTTGGAAGCCTGGAGTGCCTTAGCCTCCTTGTAGCCTGTGATGCCCAAATTGAGTAAGTATAAATGAGCAGCTTCAAATTCTTTCCATTTTCTTCCCTTAAATCGGCCAGCCTCTTAAAGTGTAACTACGTATGTTTTTAAGAATGCCATTCTCTTCTGATCTGCCCACACCCACTCTGAGTGTGTGCTTTCATCTACAATAGTTTCTAGTTAGAAAAAAAATTCTTGCTTAATAATTCTGTGTTATCATTTATGTTAATTGAATCTGATAAATAAAGAAATGAATCCTAACAACCAGAGGTACAATTCTGATCACCTGTTATGGCACAATGACACTTTAGTTTGGGTTAAGGAAAGTCCTGCTATAGAAATGCTCCTTGAGGGCCTTTCAGTATTTATTTGTTGCACTGAACATAGAATGTCCTACCCTTTCATTCATTCAAAACTGGGGCACCCAATCTGTGCTGGACCCTGCTAGCCACCGAGGATACACTAAACAAAAGTGGGCCTTCTGCATACTTCCTTTCCTCTTCCTCTTCTGTCCTGCCACCAACACTCCTGTTAGGAGATTATTTTTCAAAAAAAGCAAAATAATTGTCAATTTTTCTTTGATTCAATGTTTATCTTAAATTCAGCTTATGTAATAAGAATGGGCAAACTGCTGAAGACCTTGCGTGGTCATGTGGATATCCAGAATGTGCCAAGTTTCTTACAACAATTAAATGTATGCAGACAGTAAAGTCAAGTGAACGAGATTATGTTCCAGTGCTCAGACAGAAACGCAGTTTTGGAAATGTGGAACATACAAATGGGAAAAAGAAGTGTTGGTAAGTAACTCAGTTCTTTCCTTCTCCTGCTAGGAACCTTTATTTAGCATAGGACTTATTATTTTACTTAAATACTGGTAGTCTTATTTCTAATATATCTTTTAATCTTAATATACTTTAACACTGGTTATATTAAAATTAGATTTACAATTACTAGATTCTAGAGATCAAAAATTGTCCTGCAAAATGGGAGGTTGGGAAGAAAACTTACAACAAAAGTTTTTAATGTTGGTGATTTTTACAAACAGATGTCCGTTTGGTTATGAAGAGGTCTGAAGAAGGCTGCAGATTCTACTGCTCAGGTAGAAGCTATGGCTTTTGGTTTGCCAGTAGTGTCTCAACTCCTTCTAAGAAGGAGGAAAACTTTCTTCTAAGAGAAGATAACATTTAATACATGTATTTACATGCCTGTAATATTTTCACTGGACATGCTTTGTCTTTTATTAAAGGAATATCTAAAGATTAAATTCTTTGTATTTGTTCTTTATTGAGGTAACACTGGTTTACAACACTGTATGTGATTTAGGGGACAGGATCACGTCAGATGTATGTTATCACACTGTCCTCTAAGCACCAAAGTACCCAGAGTCCTTAATTCATGGCCAGTGGGCCTGTTTCTCCCTTTCTGAGCAGTATTTACAACCTTTGGGAAAAAATCATAAGCAATTAACTATACCCAGTACTTGATTTGAAATTAAACTTTTCATTAGCAAAGTTATAGTACAATAATACCATAGTCTTTTAATACTTTAAATTATGCTTGGTCGCTGAGGAAGACATAAGTTATAGTAAGCATCCTTGTTCCAAAAGTCTGGACTTTTCCATCCACACCAGCCCTGGATTTGGGGAAGAGAAAGGAAAACATTTTACAAAGTTACAGAACTGCATGATTAATAAGGCTGTATACTTACAACCCTTAGGGTCTTATAATACCCACATAATTCAAAACTTTGAATTACTATGCAGCAGAAAAATAACTTACTTGATTTCATTTCAGATAGACTTTTAAACTTTTAATTTGTTAGTATTTCATTATAGACATTTTAAATAAAAGGATCTTCTTTATAGTACCTGAAATACATTTTATTGATTCCAGGATGTAAAACTGCACAGTTCTGGCAATGTGGTAGCTTAACTGGCAGTCTGTTTTTCTTAGCAGTCCACAGAAACTACTGTGTACCATGCAGTGACTCCCAGCTGTGAGCAAATATGGTGAGAAATATGAGTTTATCCTTTTAGTTGTATCCTGTCCCCTCTCACTTTCCTCAGGTTTTAAGCATTCCTCTTTCCAGTCTTCATATCAGTATTAATCCTTTCCCTAGCAGAGAAAATCACTTCCAAACAAAACCTCATCATGAATATAAGTCTATCAAATTTTCCTAGGACATTAATTTATATCTGTTTGTGTTATACCCTACAGAAATGATATGCACTGAGAAATCTTTGTGAGGACGCTAGCTAAGACTCCTAAAAGACACCTGAGTCACAAGCAGTGGTCTTATCCCTTTAACTAACTTAGAGGCTGCTGAGTATTCTGACAAGGACCTAAGACCGAGGAGTGAGAGCTGAGTGGAGTGGCTTTTTTTTCATTTTACAAGAGGAAGACACATTGTTAAAATTCAAATATCAAAGTTAAAAAAAGTCTCCTTACCAGTTTTACTCCTGTGTCCCCACGTAACTACTATGGAGTCTGACTTTTTTTTTGAGACTTGTTTCTATACATAAATTCCTATTCATTATCTAATTTTTCAGCAAAATTTTCTCTAACATTAATGTTGAAAACCTGTTTCTTAATGATAAACAGAAAAGTCTTACAGTATCCCTGTGACCTTTTCACGATCCTTTTCACATGTGAAGGCCTTCTCCAGGTAACTAGACTCAATTTTTTCTTTTTTACAGAGAAGTGGGTAGAGAGAGGGCACCAGAAACTGTAGTGATACTTTTTCCTTTGAGATGACTGATGTGGGAACTTCAGACAGGAGAGCTCAGTAAGAAAACAGAGTGATCAGGCAAGGGCAGAACTTCCCCTGAGGCTCCTGAGGTTGAGTTAATGCCTGTATCCTTGCAAAATTCCTATGTTGAAACCTAATCCCCACTGCTGGTATTGGCAGTAGGGCTTTTGGGAGGTGATTGCCTTATGAAGGCAGAGCCCTCATAGACGAGATTTGCACCCTCACTAAAATGGCCCCAACACACGCCCTTCACGAGTGAAGGCAGTGGAAAATTCCACTGTCTAAGAACTAGCAGGTGGTCTGAATTCTGCAGGTGCCTTGATTTTGGCCTTCCCAGTCTCCAGATCAATGAGAGAGAAATTTCTGGTATTCATAAACCATCCAGTGAGTGGTATTCTGTGACACTAACCCAAACAGACAGAAACAGTACCCTGGACCCTGGCTTGAATGAAGAGCCCACAGTTCTGATGGCCAGCCCTGGCGTCACAGTGTCTGTGTGCACGAACAGAGCAGAGGACTTGGTGTAGCTGCGAGGTCCTACAGAAATAAACCAGCCGAGTACGAGTCTCCAAGTAACCTGGGATAATGCTTTACTAAGCTACTTCGAAAAATCCTATGTATATAATCCTTGTACAGCAAAATCCCTAAAGTCAGTCAAAAATAAGTAATTTTGTTATCTATATATTACTTCTCCAGTTAAGATAATGAAGTGTGGCCCTCCCTGGTGGCGCAGCGGGTTAAGGCACTGCACTGAGAAGCTAAAGCCACTTCCGCATGAGTTCGATCCCCGCCTGCCCCGGAGGTGACCACATGGTGTGGCAGACCTCTCCTGGCCCGCCCGCTGCTCCCCTCAGCAGTGTACTTCGTCTATCTGCCTGTTCTGCTCCCCGCTCTGTCTCTGGTGAAGCCTCTCACCCTCCACATCTCTGGCCTGTACCCCAGTTCTGTATGAATAAATAAAAAAAAATTAAAAAAAAAAAAAAAAGATAATGAAGTGTTCCCACGGGCCTTTACGATAAAATCTAGCAGTGCCGTCTCCATTCATGTATCTAGCAGTGCCGTCTCCATTCATGTTCGGCTCCTGTCTGGCTCACAACCACTGCTCCTCTGACTTGGCTACTGCCTAGCCCTGGAGCCACACCGCTTCAGGGAGCTCTGCTCTGCTCACGGGGTAAGTTCAGGAGACCCTCACCACAGCCTCACAATAACTCCGGATGGTGAGGGTCCATCACCCCAGCTAAGACTCTTCCTATTACAGTTTGTTTGGTATCGTTTGGTCCTAGGTTCTCTGCCTTATGTGTAAATTTGTGTTAAACAGGTACTTACCTTCTCCAAAATAACCTGCAGATCTTCAGCACCGGTGTAATGTGGATCTAAAATCAGAAATTTTATCTGCCCTGTGATCTCATTCCATGCAACTCCCAGGATTGTGTGGGCCAAAACGCCACCTCCTATAGAAGAGGAGATATAAAATACGAGAGGGTATAAGGGAATCTCAACTTCCTACTTAACTTAAATTTTACAAGATTATTTTGGCAATTAATTGATCTAACAGCATTAAGAGGGACTAGCCTACTTTGTAAAAGACCACAGGCAGTGTCAAATATACTCTGAAAAAATAAAATTACATCTTTAAAACATGAAAGATACAACCATATCCATAACTGTGTAATGTTCACATTGTACTCCACTTCCACAGTATTGCCAATTACTGGAGCTGGATTTAGAAGGGCCATAGCTGGCCCCACCCCTCTCAAGAGAGGAGCATTCAGTGCTGTGATACCTCCCTCGGAGTCCCGGCTCCGATGATTCAGTCCATCTACTTCCTTCCTTCTGATGTTTTGCTGAAATCTGCCTACCTCCATTTCTTACACACTAGTGTTTTTTTTGCATGGTTTCACAAGTCTTGTCCTTCAGAGAATCATGAAGCTTTAGATGAGCTAATACAATCCTCTTATTTTACAATTAAAAGTCAAAGGTTAAGCAGTTTGCACAATGTCACACAAGCAGCCAAGACAGTGCCAGTCGTAATTTGTGATGTTCTGCAGAGCGGCCCCTGCCTCTTTTCCATACTTGTCTCAATTCTTCAAATGTATGACCACAGTTACCATTTCTCTTCTTAACCTGACTTCTTCTGGTTACTATAATCTTTTCTCTAACCTCCCCATCACCTTGGAAATTAAAAACTCAGAGGTCATTTTGTATGATAGAAAATTTAATTTAAAAATTACTAATATCATGTGATATTAAATATTTACATTAATGATAAGTAGTACTACTCTTCACTTTATCAAAGAGCCCAAGATGTGCAAAACACTTTACCGATCATTACTGGAGTTCCTTCACTCCGGAAATGGTTAGCCAGTTCCCGTCCTTGAGAAGCCATTTCAGAACCTTGGCTAGAAAGAAACCACTTTTGATTAGATGTGCTGTTTCTAACACTATGGTCAAATAACCAGCTTGGGAGCCAATGTTTTTGACCTTTTCAATATATTAGAAAACATATACTTTTTAAAATTTTGCTACTATTTTTATTTATTAAATTTATTTATTTTCTTTCATAGTTGTTAACTTTTGGACAGTATTTGATTTTTCTCCTCAAGTGTAGTCCCCGTAGTTCTCCCACCACCAAAGCACCCACGATTCATCACCACGGCCCCTTGTTCTCCTCCCCACCCTGAAAAGCATATACATTTAAACAAAATTAAGTGGCAGGGAACTGACAAAGAGAACAATCTGAAGCAACATAACTATGTAAGGGCATGAAGTGTGCTAATTCTTTGTTTTTGGGATTGCACAGAAGACCCTGGGATTTTAAAAATGAGGTTGGAATTGGTCACCTTGATGCCTGGTAAGTCTTTTCTGGATGTATTTAATTATCAGAAAAATATATTTTAAAGTCCTAAATTGTCTTCCTGCTCTACCAGAGTGAGTATGTATTTCCTCATCTTTAATGCCCAAACTATAGAGATTTCAGATCTAAGAGATAGTCTGTGAAGTTAATGTAAAAACTCTAAAACACTTACAAGTACAACATACTATTTTTAGAAACTATGTTAATGTCCTATATAATTTGTTCTCATGATGAGAAAAAAAAGGGCAGTTAAAGGGAAGATATTTTTTTGAATGGAGGTGCCAGGCAATATTAAACCTGAGCTTTTCCTAAATAAGGAGTATATTTTTACATTCCAAAACTTCCACTTTTAAATCTGTCTGGTCCACTACTTAACCTATTATCATTTGTTAGTATTGATTACACAGCTAATACAAGTTGCAACTGTGAAAGTGGATGTATCAAATTCCTTAGACAAGAAAATAATCTTTTTCTAGTTGTTGAGGTTGTCGTAATAAATGATTCATTATAAAATAAAGTTCATAAATAGGGAGTAACTGGATATGGGCATAGAAAACAATTTTATTTAACTTATATTTGCTTATATTTTGTTATTAGAATTATGATTGAATTATACTGGAAAAGTAAACTGAAAATCTTATTCAAATGTACTGGTTTAAAACCCTAAGGACAGAAAGAGCAGAAGTAAACATAAAGGTTGGTTATAGATGAACATTTGATTTTTTCCATTCAAGATTTTTTTGCACGTAAGAAAGTAGAGACTGCATAACTTCACTCAAAGTTTCCAAGTTTTCCTCTTCCAGGCTAAAATTAGGCTTTTTCAATATACATATCTACTGCAAATTTTTTAAAAAAAGTTTATTCAAGAACTAAATGGCCTCCTAAAAAATAACCAAAAATACTTTAGAGTCAAGAAGAGATTTTGAAAGCACAGATAATGTAGAAGAGAAAGGGATAAAAACATGAAGGGGGATATGTAATTTTCCATTACCAATAAAAATGATAAACTCACTTTTAAATGATTTAAAGTGTCCTTACCTGACAAACAATATTTTTGAAGTTACGCCAATCAATTGGTTTAGTACCAGCTGTACCTCGATAGAGCCAATCCATTGTCGAGATCCAACAAATGTCGCTGGCTTGTCCCCTGCATCAACTAGAGCCTTTATATATATTTAAAAATACAAAAAATTCATACACAAGACAGCTGTTAAAAATTACATTTTGGGCATTTCCCCTGATTACCAATATTTTTCCTTGAAACAAAAGTAAATCTATATCACAGAATAATAATTGCTATTAACAGCATATTAAGGGCTAATGAAATCTACAACTGGTTGTAATCTAAAATGGTACCTGCTGGATCTCTCTGTGTGTTGGGATGGCTCTTTCTGTATAGCCCTGATGTTTGAACCAAGAGCAGATGGTCTGCAGAGACCGGTAAGCACAGCCCCAGCCACTGTCATCTATCCGATCCTGCATGTAATGATGATAACCATAGATGCCCTGGACCAGTTGGATCTGTATAAGAAACATGATCAAATATTAAATTTAGATGTACATATTCTACGCATTCATATCTGAGGCATTCTGACTGTCTTCAGAACTAAATTGTTATTTTAGTTCCCTATAAAAAAGCCTTTACAGAAATACTGTTTAATATTATACTCTTGTAAGTTTTTATTAAATGTCTAAAGTCCTTATCAAAGCTTACAGGCCTGCCAAGTCCTGCCTTCTGGATTCCTCTGCAACTTCTTCTACCCTTTTCCCCTGGTCCTCATTCTCCTCTAGGTTTCGATAGGCCAGGGTAGTTGGATCTCAAGGCCTTTTGGATCTCTCTTCCTGGAACACTCATTCCCCCCATAATCTAACAGCCTGCACCCTTACTTTACTCAGCCAGTCTCCTGATCATCCAACCTTAAAGGGCATCTTTACTCTTGCACACCTACTTTCTGCTCTGGCTATCGCTCTCTCATCCTGCTTAATTTTTTCAAAGAATTTACCATTAGCTGATACATTACTATTTTTTATACGTGTCCACCTGTTCTAATATGTAAGTTCAATATGTGTATGCACTATGTCCTATTTATTTTTGGTGCCAATTTCTTTAGCAAGCTTTTGTAACAGTTTAGAGTCCACAACTATTGTTGAATGAATAATGAGTGAAGGAAGAAAGAAATAAAGGAATGAAAAAATGATGGATTTAAATAATGGGAGATATAAAAGATGTTTTTGCAATTGTGTAAATCTGCCATGAATACGGTCCAGAAATTGTTTTACAGGTGAGTTTTACTAAGTGATCAAAAAAAGATCAGGTCAATCTTACAAAAACTCCTCTAGAAAAAAAAAAAAAAAAGGAACACTCCCTAGATCTTTTATATTACTGACATACAAATTAAGAACAGTATGAGAAAATTATAAGCCAGTATCATCATGAACATAGATGTAAAAATTTTAACAAAATATTTACAAACTAAATCTAGCAGATAATAATAATAAAATCAATCATAACCAAATTTGGTTCCATCTCATGAATGCAAATCTATTACCATTTGGAGATTTATGATGAAGTATTTGGGGATAAGTAGCAAGGCTCTGTAATTTTCTTAAGACTCAAGGGGTAAAAAAAAGAAATGAAGCATACAGACATTTGTTGCACACATGCAAAAGATTTGTACAAAAATGCCTAACAACCTGGGGGAAAAATGTATAAAGAGGTAAATCTACAGCAATAAAGAGAACTGATGTATATTTGGATACTATGTGAGGAGAGATCTTAGATGCATAACCATGAAGAAACAAGGTGTAGATTATAAACAATTTATAATTTTATAAGACTGAAAATCAAACAAAGCTACATTGTTGGGAGAATATATGTGTAGATGGTTAAACTATTTTTAAAAGAGGAAATGAATGAATGATGAACATACTCAGTATAATAGTCCCTCTTGGGGCCTGGCAGAGGCGGAGGAACCCAGAAGCAAGGAACACACAGGTCAGTAATGCTAATTCTTAAGTTGGGCAGGAAGCTTCCCAGTGTTCATCTCATTGCTATGCCTTACAATTTATACATTATCTATGCAAGTCAAATAGCATAACATTAAAAATTGTTTCTTGCATTTTTGTAATATGAACCTATTTCACTGTCAAAACTCAATCAGCATTCATTTAGTACCTTCAGAGTACTGAAAGGGGTGGTAAATTATGTCTTAGGGATAAAGTACTTCATAAAGCAATCAAATCAATCAAAAATACACTGGGTACAAATGTAAAAATAACTAATGACAACGATCAGTTGATACCCACAAATAGTTAAACTCACCACACCAGTCTCTATGTTAGGTGGATTGAGATAAGTGTGTGGATTTCTAATGTAACCATCTTTGTATGGTTCATCTGGAAAGTGATAAGCATTAGACCTTCTGAAATATGGTCTATTATGAGGCAGATTGAAGCGATCATGTAGCTCCTAAATGAAATCAGAATCAAGAGAAATTAATGATTTGCATTTCGATTCAATAGCTATAAGACATAGGAAGTTAACTATAAAAGTTACCAAATGTACATACAATTCAATTTACTAAGATCAAAGAAGGTAAGCTTTAACTTAGAACTAAATAAGCCTTAATTTTGCTTATTTAAGTGTATGGATGGAAACTGGAAGGGAAAATAGAAAAATAAAATGTATTAGAGTGAGAGAAATGAAATAACTTAAAATTATTTATTGTAGCAGTTTGTAAAATACTTGCAGTCTGAAGATTCATTTTTGAAAGTCTTACAAGTAAATTATAACTAACAACAATATAAATATATGTAAGTATTTTGAAAAGTCATGTTTAAAGATCTTAACAAATATAAAAGTAAATAACATAGTAGAAATTGAAGGCATGAAACCAACCAATATGGCGTGAAAATAAAAATGTACATAAATATGTTTAAAATGCAATATTTTTTCAATTGTATAAAAATAGCTACTTTGAAAAGTTTGACAATTTCTTCTTCCTGTCTTCTATATCCTAGCAATTTGAACAATCATAAGTTTGAATAGCCGCTGCTGCTTCTATAAATCAATTTACACTTAAAAACGATTACAGCATTCTACTGCTTCACAAAGGCAGAAAGCAGGAAGATGTTCCTTTGGGGCAAGTTGATGGGTGCTAAGCAAGGCCACACCTCAAATATATGTGCTCCAATTCCAGTCAATTTGTCAAAAACTCTGATTTCCTTAAATGCTGACCATGTTTTGTTCAAAATGTCTCTAGTAAACCCAAACAACTCTGGGAGGTAGGGAATGGAATATTACTACAAATCCCAATCAGAATTAGCACATGGTCTATTTTCCTTCCCTAACTGTAATTTGTCTCTGAAAAATCTAGAAACAATGGAAGGGAAAAGGGATTTACTCTAGGCATGTAGGCATATTTTATTTGTATATTTAATTACGGAAAATAAAAATATTTCATAGCACATATACACCACCTCGAGCATATGAAACGAAAATGCCTCATGGTTTAGCATATTTTTCTTTGGTACTTATAAAAGATCGTGAGAACAGAAGTTAAATTATATATGCAAAACTAGTAGGATGCTTTCATACTTTTAATCACAGGTTCCATTTATTACAAATATCTAATTAAAAACAAAATGAATAACGGTCATTATATTTTTCCTAAAAATAAATGAACTGCTTTTTACCTTCCTATAGGCCTGCAGCTGCCCATCTGGGATTCCTGATGGATAGGAAATGGTTACAAGACTTTTTTCTCCTGGTAATAAAAAGTGCAGTGGTTCAGGGACTACAATAGATGTTCCTTTCATGTACTTAAAAATGCACTTCTCCATGTCAGTTAGTTGATTTAGAATTGCATCAACTAGAAGTTTACGAACTCTGTGGGGGGAAATGTACAAGTGTGTTAACAAAAGTTATAATGGCAATGATGAATGTGTAGCAAAAATAGATCCTAAATCTAGTAAAAGAATTCTACTGGGCCAGTAAAGTAAACTGCATATTTCCTCTGTGTACAAAACAGGACAATAGCATAGCATCCAAACACCAACAGCTTTAGCACGCTACCCTACTTCCTTTAAATAAACAATCACAAGTCACAGCAAAAAACCACATGCCTGGATATCTTATTTAAAAATGGGCTCTGATGACCTTGGGGAGGGTGCTCATTTCAATGTATAGTGGCACTGGGAGCTACTTACTTTCCCCATGCTTCTTCGGGTGCAACAGATATAACTGCATCGACTGGTAAAGTCATATTAACATAGTGGTGTCCTCCACTTTCCCTTTCGATGACTGGGGTTACAGCTGCCAGAGAGGTTGACATTTCCAGCATGAGGTCTATATTTACTACTTGCTGCTTTACGACAAACAGTAATAAGTCAACTTGTGGTATACGGAACAATAGACATGAAGGCTAAGTAAAAGGATTTTATAAAACTGTATTACAGTGGATTGCTTATGAATTCTTCCATGATTCAAAATAACCAGAAAAATGAAGAGTGAGTGATGAATAAAGATGAAAGCAAACTGACCATTAGCGATGAATGCTAAAGTTGGTGCAAGTACACCAGGGTTCATTATCTAGTCACTCCATTTTTGCAGACAAGATAAAAACAACCAAGGATCAAAGGATTTTTTTAAAATATCTGACACTAAACCCTTCTAATCTAAAGCTATAAAGTAATATAAAGTAATGTAAGTATCCAAGTTTATCAAGTTTGAATTTGATAGTGTAGGAAAATCTGTGGGAGGTAATCACTCTTACTGGTTTAAAAAAACAGAACCAAGAACAGTATGAGGTAAATCAAGTACTATTTCTGTTTCACTCAGTGTGTGTCACTGTTGTGTTTCAGAGTGACATCTAAAATTTATATTTAAGTAAATCACTCAAATTGTGAGGGCAAAGAAAGCATTCCTGTTCCCCCAAAAACAACAACTGTAAAACTGGCAGGTCATTTAATCTTTCTGGACAGCAGTGATCTGATCTGAAAACATGACATAGTGGGACTAAATTATCTTTATGCTCTCACTCAACTTCAAATTCATGGATTTAAAATTTTTACCACTAGGTAGACAGATGATTTGCTTACCATGTCTGATGACTTTTTGTCTTTCTTTTTCATGAATTTTCGTTTTGTATCTTCTTCCTGCTCAAATCTAAAATTTTAGCCCATGAAGATGTTTATAATGTAAAATTTTGTTTTGAAAACATTTCTAGCAATCTTTAATAATTATACTCACTGAATAAAGCGCATTATGTTCTTACAAGCAGAACTATCAGTCAGCTCTCCTGAAATGGTGTTTACATCGCTGTTAGGCCAGATGTACACCGAGCTGTGGCAAATTCTGAACACAAGTGCATCGGAACAAAGCTTTTTTGAGAGGTCACTCAACACATGTTTTAGAGCTTCCCTGATGAAAACTTCTAAATGAAAATGTAAAAAGAAGTCAGTAAGAACAAATTTATAACATGAATTCTTCCAAACACAAAGTAGATCATAGTAAAACTGACTCTAAAATATCCATTCCCCAGAATCAATAACGTCAAAGTTTTGTTTTTTTTTTTAAACAGCTTATTGAGATACAGCTTAGGCTGTAAAATTAATTCTTTCAGTGGTATAATTCACAACTTTTGGTATATTGGTAAGGTTTTATGAGTATCACTATCTAATTGCAGTCCTGTAATTAGTATTTGTGGGGTGTTTTCATCACCCCAAAAGAAACCCCATACCTATCAGTGATCGATGGCAATTATTAATCTACTTTTTGTCTATAGGTCTGCCTACTCTGAACACTTCACAGCAAACCACACGGTAGGTGGTCTTTTGTCCTGGCTTCTTTTACTCAGTATAATCTTTTCAAGATTCATCTGTATCTTTGCAAGAATCATATTTTGTTTCTTTTTTGTGGGCAAATAATATTTCATTGTATGAATATAAACATCCTTTGTAAGGTTGGCCATTTATAGGTTGATATTGATTTTGGGTTGTTGCTACTTTTTGGCTAACATGAGTCACATTTGCTAAGACCATTTGAGTACCAGTTATTGGACAGATATGTTTTTAACTCTCTTGGGTGATCCCCTATAGCCATGTGAAGAATGGCTGGGTGACATGGTAAATATGTTGAACTTTTTAAGCAACTGCCAATTGAGTTTCTAAAGTAGCTACCTCATTTTATATTTCCAGCATTGTATGGAGATTCTAACTACTTTCAAAATACCAAATTAGCAATAAATACCAAGTTAACAATAAAACCGTTGAATGAAATTTCTTTGTAGTTCTTTTCCTTCTTGAACTATACTGCACTGAGGCTGTATTCTAAAGTGACAGTAGTTTTTCTGTGTGGTATGTCATCAACCCAATATATGTTTGGATTAATTTTTAAATATTTCAATCTCAAATAAAACAAATCTAAAACTCCTCACATGCCTGCTCTGGCAGTCTTTACCCTTTCTCTGGCAGTAGCTCAACTCAGAAGAGGAAAGCATTTTAGAAATCAGTTTATATAAACTCTACTGATTTTTTTCCCCATAGAGTTCTATATTCCAAAACAACATAACAAAATAACATTCCAGAGATTGCTCTGGAGACTCACAGCAACCTTCTAATTTTCACAAAGGAATTCCACCGACTAGTAGTGAAGCCAGAACATGGCATCTAAATTTAAACCCTGGATACTTTTTCTCTTTCTCAGTTCCATTTGCAAAATGAAGAGACCAATGGTACATTTTAACATCAATGTTGTAATCAGAAAAGAGTGTTTTGGCAGACATACCATTAGCAGTAGCTAGTTGAAAAGCCAGATCAAGGCCTCCTCTTATTCTGAAGAGTATATCCATAGTCTCTGAAGTCACCTATGACAAATACAATAAATTTGTGTTTATTTTCTATTGTAAAACAAAACACACTCATAGTAATTATAATCTAAATTTAGGTTTAGGCCTTAAGTAAGTTTGACACTTTAAATTACTTCATGACCAAAATCCTGGTATGGGCCACAAAATACCCTAAATTCTAAATCAAGGATTCTCAAACTTTATTCTATATTGAAATCACCTAAGGAGCTTAAAACATGGATACTTGAAAAAAAAAAATATGGATACCTGGACTACACCACAGGGAATATGATTAAATGATGTAGGGTAGGCACAGGAGGTTAAAGCGCAGCACTGCAAGCTAGCCACAGCTTCTTCAGTGCAAGTTTGATCCCAACCTGGAGGTGACCTACATGGCACAGTGGTCTTCTCCTGTCTCACCCGCTGTTCCCCACTCTCCCTGGTAAATCCTCTCACTGCCCCTGCACCTCTGGCTTGTACCCCAGTTCTGTATGCATACATAAAACAAATCTTTAAAAGCTACCTCTACTTTTTTCCCTGTATCAGTAATTATAATGGGAAAGGTTGGGGCTCACTGCCCTAAGACAAGATTTCCTTGTCTTGACATGAGTATATTAATGGTAAAGAAACAGTTTAACAATGTGACAAGAACACTGCCTAATATAATAGCAGCAGGTGGTCAAGATAATAAGAGGAACCCAATGTATGAATGCTGGTAGGAGTATCAATTGGTGTAGCTCTTCATAGGACAGCATGGTAATAAACATTAAAAGCTTCATAATCAAATTCTTGGCCTAGTGAGTCTGTATTCAGAAATTTAGTCTAAGGAGATGAGCAAAGCACACAAAGATTCAAGCAGAAGGCTAGTGACCTAAATGTCAACAAGAGATCTTACATACAAGTATTATGCAGTCACAAAACAAACAAAAAATACCACACACAGAAGCTTTAGAAGCATACTTAATGGACTAAAAAATGCTTGAACTTATAAAGGAGAAAAAGTACCTGTAAAATAGAATATTATTGGTCAGCTATTTCTAATCTGGGTCCATATTTCTGATATCTGATGATGTGTCATTTTAAAGTGGGGAGGGAGAAAGAAGAGGGAGAGACTCTTAGGTTCTCAACCAGGCTACATAGCAAAACTTTATTTGAAACAAGTAAGTACTAAGGTGTACAGAACTCTTAAAATGTAACTGATTGGACATACACTGGTGCAGATCCTCAGAACATTATGAAGTAGGTATCATTAATACTTTCTCACAACTTCCTTGTCAGACTTTAAGGCTGACTTCTTTTACTTATTCCATAAATTGACAATTGTTGAAAGGCCATGCCCTTTGTCTCAATTCTACTTCAGGGGACTTATTCTAAGTAAATAATCAAGAAAATTCAGACATAAAATTTAGCTTTAATGTTGTTCACATAGCATATTGTTGTTCATCATAGCCAATAAAGAAAAAAAGAGAGAGAAAAGAAGATGCTGACCTAAACAGTAATCAAAAAGAAGTTGGTTAAATCAAGACCAACTCTACCACACAAAACACTACATTCATTTGAATAAAGAATATTTAACACATGAAAGGAACTGAAGAATGTAAAAGTTAAAAAGGCAGATGAGCAAAAATTCTGCACAATTTTAATCACTCAAGACTATTTTTTTCTTCTGCAAAGCTGGGGGAAAATGCAATGTCACAGTGTTGTTGTGAAAACCCCATTAGAGATACTACATAAAAGCTCTAGAATCTCCCTAAGTTTCAGATTAAAGTCCTTTAATGAATTAAAGTCCTTGCTGAAGAAATAATCAGCTGAGGGGTTAGTAGGTATGCGCATTAACAACTCCAAAGGAAAGATGGAGGTGAAAAGCCTATTCTAGCCAGGTGTATCAGATGGGTAAAATTTCTTAAAAGATCACTTGGAGACTATTTCAGGTGGATATTACCTGATGGAAGGCCAGGACCTTAAGAGTTGAGAGGGACAATAAATAGCCACTTAGAAGAAGAGGCCAGAGGGCTTATTTATAATCAGATACTGGATTGTTCAGAAAAGGTAGATGCCAACGATAATATACAGGTTGGGGTATAGACACAGCAGGTGTCATTTACTGAGATGGAGTTCATGGGAAGAAGAGCAGGTGTGGCATTAAAAGAGGTGGAAATGATGTTAGTTTTGATCTTCCTTCGTTTGAAATACACACGAGCTATCCAAACGGAAGAATAGTTAGATTTGTGTATGTGGAGAAAAGGTGTACTCGAGAGAAAGCAGAGTGTGTCAGGAAGTCTCCCTGAAGGACGACACATCTATTAAAAGGACTGGCGAACCTGGCCGTGCAGTTAGTCAGAGGGAAACCAGTTAGTCAGTGTGAAATCCCAGAGGCTAAGGGAGGTGAATATTTGAAGGAAAATACTCATATCTTTCTTAGCTCCAATGTCTCTTCAAAAATTGTGAGTGATCCCTCGTTTTGAAAATGCATTCGCAAAGATCGCATGTTCAAACACACATGGGCCTGGGTTTAAGGCTGTGTGGGCCAGTTTCAATTCCATCTCTTGCCCTAGATGGGATTGCGGCCCAGGAGAGGGTGGCCCAGATCACAGAATTCGCAGCTGCCACAGGGCTTCGACAAGATAAGCTTCTTTTAAGGCCTGTGAAGCCGTACTGGTGGCTGTGAGACTCCCAAGGGAATCTAAGGGGTCCAAGGCGCGCAGTACTCACCATGTCTGAGACGTGGCATTGACAGACACTCGCTGTAGTTCCTGAGGCCGGCCCGGAAGTGGCGTCATCGCGGGGCCGAGTTGTAGTCCTGGCTTCGCGGACTACAACTCCCAGCATGCCACGCAGCACTCATCCTAGTGCCTACCACTTATCTCTTCCAGGAGGGATCATGGGGCGGGAAGTAAGAGACGCGTACATTCTATTGGTTGAGCGTTCGCATTGTACAGCGACCCATAGGTCTTTGTGTGTGTCCCTCAGAGGTTCGAGCTCCTCGCGTAAGCTCCCCGGGTGTACTCAGAACGCCTTCGCTGGTCCCTGGGGCAACGCGTCACAATAAACACCTGCGGCACGGCGGAGGCTCGGGGAGGTCCTGGAGGACTTCGCGCGGGAAGAGCTGCGCGTGGGTGACTCGTAGACTTCGTTGCTCCCGCAGCCAAATAAGCGGGGACAAATTTATCTCCGAGGTCGCCCTGGGTGTTCTCCTGAGAGGTGACTTCGTACTCATGGACTCCAATGTCGCCAGGTGTTCCCTTTAGATACCCACCTACTTCTAGCCTTCGTGTACCTAATGGGAAATCTTTCGTTCTCACCACCCCAGCCACAAGTTTTGTCCCCCACCTTCACCTCCGCGCGGCACCTTACCACACCTTGCAAAAGGAACGGGCTTGGTTTACGTTCTTGTAACCCCCCTGGGTGCTCCCAGCGGACCTTGCCCGGAGGGGGAGTTTGCAAAATATGGGTTAAATAAATGAATTGATGGCTTTCTCAGTGTTGTTCCCGGAGAGTTAAGTAGTGCAGGAGGTCTAGGCAAGAGATTTCCGACCTCCTGCTCTCCCTCTGCGACTGTTGCGTGCCAGACACGCAGCTTCGTGGTAGTAGCGTGCTGGATCCAACAGGTGTGTGTGCTTGTGTGTGTGTGTGATTCATTCATACTCTCTCTCCCTTCTGTTTCCCTCCCCTCCCTCCCTCGCTCTTCCTCCCTATTTCCCATGATTCCTGTTAAATCATGAAGTAAATGCGCTATGATAGAATTAAAGAAATGATGAATGAGCTAATATTGAAACAGCTTGCTTTAAATGTAAGGCAAAGGCTTTAATTTGGTTTTACACTGGGCAGCATAAGTCACGGTTTATTTTATTCGTGAATATACTCCCAGTTTCTAGATCTAATTTGTGCTTATAAATAGTAGGATGCAATGGAGGCAAGTATTGTTAGCTTTTTAGTCCTCCTTTCTAGAACATACCTAATTCGAATAAACATGTAATAGTTGCTTGTTTAAAGTGTTGTTTCAAAAGAAAACTCACAGTTGCCATCTGCTCTTTTACAAATATTCTGAGTTGTTTGCATGTTTTGTTCTTGTTTTTTTGTTGCCTCACCAGCTGTGTTCCCCTACCCAGCTCTTTCTCAATGTCCTGATTTATATTTGTGCCCTTTTCCTGGACAGGGAATTCCTTTGAGTTTCTGCTCTTTTTGTCTTATGAAAACACCTGGCAGTATTATGGTGGTGATGGAACACGCCAGTATGTGAAAAGAGGTCACCAGCAGGTCTGGCACAGGTAGGCATTCCCTGATGCTGGGGGAATTCTGAAAAGGCTGATCCCCTGGTCCAGTCAGGAGCATCCCTGAAAGGTTTATTTTCAACATAAGGGGCCTTGAAGTATGTTTAGGTAACTTGATGTAACCTGAAAATGCCTACCTTAAATATAATTATAGCTTAAAAATCTACCTTTACATAGCACTTACAACTTAAACCCCACTGCATAGATGTACTTTCAACATTTACAACAGCTGAATGGGATGCAATAGATGCTGTCATATCTGTTTCTTTGTAATTCGTGGGCAGGCCACCAGGAACATCTAGAGGAAGGTGCATGGTGATATTTTGCATCTTGTTATTTTTCCTAGCCCCACAGAAAATATGGCACAGTTGTTTAATATTGATCATGTTATTTTCCCAGCTCCCCAGTATGGCATTATTGTCTTATACTGAATGTTAACTCTCAGATGGAAAGTAATTTGGACTAAAACTTATTAATCACTTTTCCCTTGAATTTTTCAATGTAAAGTAAGATTTTTTTTTTTTAATAAAAGAAGTAGTCCTCAGAAATCTTTTGAAGTGTAGAGAACACAGCCATAGGAAGCAACCATGCCTGCAGAAGGAGGAAAAACAGACATGGAGAGGATTGGCCTCTTCAGTGAGATGGAGTATATAACTGTTGGTGATAAGTATGTGTCACGATTTAATCGTAAGTATATTTGGTTTTATTTACAATCTTGTAGTGGATATTTTCTATATGGAATTTTGGATTTCATTATTGGTCCATATTTCAAAGTTGAATACATTTCTGAAATTTCAAGAGTTAAGAGAAAACTTAATTTTAGAGGAATAGGAATATTATTTTAATGGGTTTCCCTGGCCTGACATCAACATATCCTATTGAGAAGTAATTTTATTGCTTTCTAAAAGTGCCTGGCATTTTTCTCTATTTTGTTTTTAGTTTTTTTTTTCTTAGATGGCAGCAATCAGCTTTGCAAAGAGCCTTTGCATTTGCATCCAAAAGGCCACCCATTAGTTACATTTTTAAAAAACAAAATGCTCAATTAAAAGCTGAAGGATTTTTTTAAAAGAAGTGTCAAAAATAATAAATAGCTAAATTAAATATTTAAAATATCTCAGTTAAATTTTTGGCTATTCAATGATTTCCATGTAACAATGAGAAAGAATAAACTGATATGAAATATTTCTAAGATATATTGTTAATTAAAAAGATCAAAGTGCAGAATAGTACATGTAATATGCTATATATTAAAATGAAAAGTATGTTTATGAAAATCTCAATAGAATATGCCTCAACAATCACTGCCAAACAAAATTGATAGGGTTGTTTGTGGGAGATTAACTGATTGGACTAGTGGGATTGGAAGAATATGCTGTTTTATTTATTATGTGAATATGTTACCATTATAAAAGTAAGTTAAAATATCAGTGATTTAAATTCACTAGTAACCAGTTGAATTTTGGATTATTTGCATTGCAAAATGACCTCCATGTAACTGAAGGAGTTTCCAAATTGAGTTCTCCTAGATCCAAATTATTAAAGTAGTCCTTATTTATAAAAACAATTTGAAAAATATAGTGGGACTACTAGTAGTTCATTGTATAATATATAAGGTATTTATATGCTCTCCTGTAGGTAGACATTGGGTTATTTCCTGTTTTTGATTATTATGAATGAAGTTGCTATGAACATTTTTGCTCAAGTCATTTAGTGGGTATAGGTACTCAGGTCTCTTGAGGATAAACCCAGAGGGGAGCTGCTTCAAGTTGAGTTTGAAATAACTTTCTTTCAACCTAACCACACACACACACACACACGCACACGCACACGCACACACACCCCTAACCCCCAGCCCCCTGTATACTGACATCTCAGAAAAAGTGTTTCCCAGAATACAGATAGGGAAGCATTAAATTAGATGACCTTTAAGATTTCCTCTGGCTCTACAATTTAGTCTATAACCAAGTTTTTAATCTAAATATTAAAATATTTCAATGAATATTAGATGTTCTAGTGATGGCATCTTGTCTTATTTTCAATATAATCTTTAACACAGACCTTTCAGGAACATATTGAATGTGTTTTAGATCTCAAAAGTTGAAATTTTTCTAAGTTATTTGTTATGTTCCCCTAATTACAAAAATCAAACATTCCTAATTTTTTTTAATGTAATGTAATAGTTTATTTTTACATCATTTTGTGCCTTTTTCCATCTCACTTGTAATCCCCATGGACTTCCCATCACCATATCACCCGTGCGCCATCACCATAGTCCAGTGCATTTCCCTCCCCCACCACTGTTTTTGATCCCATTTCCCACTCCACCCCTATAAAATGTCTCTGGTATATAGCTGTTCATCATTATCAATATTTTTTCGTTATACTCCTGCTATGAGTAAAACCATCCTTTTTTTCCCTTTTCTTCTGTCTTATTTCACTAATCATGATCTTTTCCAGCTTCATCTATGTTGCTGCAAAAGGCATGTGTTTCTTTTTTTTTTGGTTGCTGAGTAATATTCCATTGTGTATAGGTACCATATTTTTTTAATCCAGTCATCCATTTTTGGGCATTTGGGCTGTTTCCATGTCTTTCCAATTGTAAATAAAGTAGTAATAAATATGGGGACGCAGGTATCTTTTTGAATCAGTGTTTTTGTGTCTTTTGGGTAGATACCTAGGAGTGGGATTGCTGGGTCATATGGAAGCTCCATGTGTAGCAGTTTGAGGAGCCTCCAGTTTTCCATAGTGGTTGTACTAGTTTACATTCCCACCAGCAGTGGAAGAGAGTTCCTTTTTCTCCACATCCTTGCCAACATATGTTGTTGCTAGTTGTTGTGAAGATGTGCCATTCTCACTGGGTTGAGGTGGTATCTCATTGTGGTTTTAATTTGCATCTCCCTTATTACAAGTGATGTTGAACATTTTTTCATATGTTTGTTGGCCATCTGCATGTCCTCTTTGGAGAAGTATCTTTTTAGCTCTTCTGCCCATTTCTTGATGGGGTTGTTTATTTTTATTGAGTTTCATCAGTTCTTTGTCTATCTTTGTGATCAATCCTTTATCGCTAGTTTTGTGTGAGAAAATTTTTTCCCAATCAGTGGGATGTCTCAAACATTCCTAATTTATTTTTAAAGGACCCTTTAATGAGGCTGCAAGCAAAAATAAACAGATGCTACCTGGGGGATCCAAAGCAATGTCAGATCTCCAGGCAGGTTATTTTGATCCCCATTTTGTAAGAATTTTTGAAGGTGAAAGCTATGTAAATATGAATCAAGTGAGGAGACAGCACATGATGCAAGAGGCCAAAAAAAATCTCGGCAAAGCCTTCCTCCCTAGTAGTGGAAATAAAAAGCCGTAAGTGTTTTGGGGGCTAAGTCTTAAATATATCTCCTGCATCTTTCTCTTTTTCCTAAATTGTTTTCAGATAGGACTTACTAATAAACAGTTCAGTTTTATTAAAAGTGTGTTCTATCTTATGTCACTGTTCTCCATTAGTTTATATTATAATAGCCAACTAAATAAAGAAAATTAATTTGATTGAAAACTCTACAGCCTGGGGAATAATTGCCTTGGGCCATTGTATCTTTGCCTTTGATTATTTTTTGTTTTAAAAAATATAAATAAAAAAATGAAATTAACAAGAAGCCTTTTTTTTTGACAAAAGTGATTTTAAAAATCAGTGAAAATACACTCATGGAATTTAATAATATTTTAATTGTGACAACTGTCAGTGTGAAGATTAATTTTTTAGTAATTTTAAATGATTATTTTAACAAGTAAAAACATCATATAGCTGGACACTATAATATGTTAATTCTTCAGAACCAACTTTCAGTTTAATATTATGATAGGTAAGGATTATTTGAAGTCTAATATTGTGTTTATTTGTAGTACTTTCTTAACATTTGTAAGGCTGTTATATTTTGTCAAAATTACTAAGTTTTTACAAAGAGTGAGAAATTGCTTCTTTTTTGTTGTAATCTTTTCCTACCTTGGATAGGTTTGAACTGCTTTTATTGTTATTTGAGCGTCTTCATTTTCTCTTTGGGTATAAATTCAAGTGTGTATTTTTAGTCACTAATTTCCTTCTTTTTCATGTAATAAATATATTTTACCCTTTAAATAATTTTTTATTCTCCCCCCACCCAGGGTAAATTTTTTCTTTTCATGGTAACAATTGGGAATTGCTTCCTTAACTAACTAGTTTATAATGTGCCTATTCATTTGTCAACCAAGAAATAATAAATTCTATAATCAGAACAGTTTTCCTGTCTTTTAAAGCTCACAGATATTGAAAGCTACCTGTAATTGAGTAGGGTATAGGAAATGTTTACAAAAAAGAGAGGGTGGTATTTACTTAACCCTGAATTATGGAGCAACCGGCTTTTAATAAATTCTAAATTTATTAAAATTTAAACATTAAGCATTACATACTGTTTTTAGTGCTTACATGAAATCACAGATTATGCCTATGCATAGTTCTTTTCTCAGTGATGTCATTTCTTAATTCCTTATTACATTTTAGAATTTAATAACATATACCATAAATAGCAATTAAGGAAGACATCTCCTAGTAGAATCTTTATTCATAGCCTGGAGTTTATAATTTTTTCTGCGCCCTCCCCTGAAGATAATAATTTTTTTTCCTTTTTACATCATTCTTCATTTTGTGCATTTTTTTCATCTCAATGAAGATAGTAATTAAAGTTGATCAATGTTCATGCCTTTCTTGTTTCAAAATTTTTAACTGAAGTGTGTAAACAGTGTCAAGTTTTGATTGTAGTGTTTCATTGGTCTTATAGACTATTTTCAGATTATTGAAATTTATTTCAGCGATAACTTAGAAATTAGAAAATATGACGGTGACTAACCATAGTTATGTGTTTTATCATGAAAATTTTAAGGAAAATATCTGTTAATGTAAAGTGCTGACTGATAAATGTTTTAATGATTAAATAAATACTGTGGGCCCCAAAATTTTGACATTAAAAATGAAGAAAACATTTGGTTAAATATTTTCCTATAGTAAGGGAGTAAGTGTAAACCAAAAAGAACAACATAAGCACTAAAATTCAGTGAAACCTACTTTCATTATCATGGAAACAATTCTTTTAAATATGTTTTAGTTTTAGTGGTTAATGATAGAGAAGAAATTAGCCATTTTCAACTAATTTACCATAAAGTGCCTAAAACCTCAATGAAAAAACACAAAAGTGGCTATTTTTTTGTTATAGCTAATTAACAGAAACTATTCTAACTTCCCAGAGATTATGAAGTAAATAGGTGATCATTTAAAATAAGAATAAAGTTAAAAAAACATTTCAAAATTAGTGACTTTGAAAACTGGGGAACATTAAATTAAAAGCTAACAAAAATTTTGTTTTACCCAAGTTAGGCAAGTCAATTCCATTGCATATACTTTACTGATTTATATTCAGTCATTTTTGAGGAATTATAAAGTAACACAAAATTTCTCATTTTAACCTGATTTTCTAATCATCTTTAAGATCTGGATTAGGAAGCTACTATGGAACCATAGGTGGCCCAGTTCCATTCTTCAGTGCACAGAAAAAGCCCAGAGTAAAATATGAGGCACCTGGAAAGAATTTATACACAAACCCAGGAAAGAAGGGAACCGGCTATGGGTAATATATTTTATTTTATTTTTAATTTTTAAAAAGACTTATTTATGCATACAGAGATGGGGTACAGGCCAGAGGTGTAGGGGCGGTGAGAGGATTCACCAGAGACAGAGCAGGTAGCAGAACAGGCAGATTGAGGAAGTACACTGCTGTGGGAGCAGCGGGCCAGACAAGAGAGGTCAGCCAGCCATGTGGGTCAGCTCTGTGGCAGGGATAGAACTCATGCTGAGGTGACTTTAGCTTCTTAGTGCTGCAGTTTAACCTGCTGTGCCACCAGGGAGGACCCGGTAATATATTTTAAATGCTTTTGTATAATTTCCTGATAAAATGAACCATAAAAGTTCTGCAACCTGAAGTCACCATTATTTTTCCCTTCTTAGCTATGCAAATATTACTATAGGTAAACAGTTTTCACACTCTGCAGATCTGTATGATGCACCAAAAGAAAATTATAAGGTAAAAATCATCTATTTTACTTTCTTTCAACTCTTTTTTTCACTGACTTAGAGAATTCACTTGTGATCTAGTTATAGCTTGGTTTTGTTTTATTGATTTGTATTATGAGGACAACAGAAGCCTAAAGTTGATCTTAAATCTCTGTATCTTTTCTACTTTATATAAGGTATCCAATAGTTAATATGGATTTATTCAGGTAATAAGTAGATCTCTCTACTTAAATTTATATACAAAATGAATATGCATAGTTGTTTTTCGAAAGTCAGGGTAACTTTTATATCATTCAAAACAATGTAACAAAGAAATGTTTAAAAATTAAACTACAGAGAATATACCAAAAAAGTCTTCAAATTAAAATTTAAAAGAAGATTTGACTCTAAAAGTTCTGTTTTTAGTAATTATAGCATATCATTTCAAACTGTTTGTAGAAAGAGAATGAAGAACACCTTCGTTTACTTAAAGGAACACCTTTCAAGTTAAATCTTTGCCCACGGGAATATTTCGACCCCAATCCTTATTTTACTGAGAATCCTTTACCACCAATTAAAAAACTAGAGACAAAAGAAACATCTGGACCTGCTTTTAAACCCTCTTCTCCTGGTAAAAAGGTAAGTTAAAAATTTTAGAGTGAAAAATTGTTAAGTTTTATTAATAAATTGCTTTTGAATTATTTTATTACCTTTGTAAAGAGTTCACTTTTGTTTGTATTCATACCAAGAATCACAAATAGTATTTTATAAAATTATGGCATCACAAAGTATGACTAGTGTTAAGGAATAATGAAATCTTGCAATAAAGTAATGTTTAATCATTTCAAATGTATTTGAATTGAAATAGATTTTATAAAGGCCTCTCTAGATTTTAGCTGTAGTTTTTATCAAAACTAGAAAAAGTGAGATCATGTATTAGTGTTTGTGATGGTGATTAAAGTGGAAGTTTACAAGTGTGAATAAAAGTAGAAACATTTTTCTATTTTGTAAATCTTACTTTATAATTTGTTTTTACTTACATTAATTGCCTGTTCATTTTTTCCTGTAGGTTTTCTATTAGGATATTGATTTGTAAGTTATTTGATATGAAGATACCATTTTGTCATTTGTATTGAAAATAACAAAATTTTATTTTGTGCTTTAATAATTTGATGTAATCAAATTTCTCAATCCTTTGTACTCAATTTTTTCATTCTCAGAATGGCTTAAACAATATTAGAAAAATTATTGATATCTTATTTTAGTCTTATCTTTTGGCATTTAAACCTTTGTCTAAAATGCATTTTTATGCAAAAAGTAAGGTAAGGCTATGCAAAAACTAAGCTAAGGGTACTTTTTTTTTGAGTTTTTTAAAATCCATTTTCTTATTGTGGGAGGTAACTGGGTGGAAGATGCATTCTATATCTTGATTGTGGCAATAGTTTCAAAGCTGTATGTATATTAAAAACTCAGAATTATAAACTTGATTTAAAAATTTTGTATATAATTTTTAAAGTTTTGTGGACTTGTTATGTTTTCCATAATTGGCATTAAAAACTTTTCTATTGAGATGACGTTTCATTATAACGTATTAAGTTTTAGGTGTGTGTCATTAGAACTCAACTTATACATATAGTATATTATTGTAGTCAATAAGAAGATACTAGAATCTTACTTACTGTAGCAGGTAGATTTCTTTGTTTTTCTATGCTTTGTTACAGATTAAATAGTACTAGAAATATCTGTTCCTTGAAGGTTTGAAAGAATTCTTATAGGAAATGTTTTCTATGCTTTCTTGCCTACTGTCTGTTTTCTGAGTAAACTTTGACATTTAATTTTCTTTGAAAATTATTAGTTTCATTCAGGTTTTCAAATGTATTGCATTAGCATTGAACTTTATAAAAATACTATAGTTTTTGCTATTCCAGATATGTATGGTTTTCTTTCATTCCTTTCTCACTGTAAATTATATATTTTTATCTATTTAATGAGTTTTTATAAAGTATCACCTGGAGAATTGGTTTATTTGTAATATGCATTTTTCTATTTTTTACCCATCTATTTTGTGTTATACATATTAATTTTACTTTTCTTAATATTTGTTGCTCTTCAAAATAGTTTGTGTCTTCAATCTAGAAAGCTTGAAAAGTCACAATCATAGTTTTCAGTTGAAGTTAAATTTTCACTGTAAGAGAAAGGATGCCTAATTAAATGCATTATTATGATTCTACAGTGTTTTCTAAGGCTAAAAAATTCATTAAGTCAATGTAAAAGGTCAAAGCAAATATTTATGTTTAGGTAAACAATATTTTTATTATGTGGGGAGAGTGGGGGAAATATTTTGAATTCTCTTCTAGGCTGCAAGTGTAGTAGGTCACATTTTTCTTGTTACTCCTTCTTTAAAAAAAATTTCCTCCACCACTGATTGATAATAAGCAAAATCATGTTATGCCAGGCTTGCTATTGGACAAACCTTACCCTTGTTCTCTTCCCCCATCCTCTGGTTCTGGGATGACCTTGGTCTCATACCCTCAGTACTAAACTTCCTTCCTCTCAACCAGGTGGTAACCTGATCAATAAACTTTCAATAAAGTACTAGTGATCGGCAATAATTTAGAATATTACTTTCCCTCAAACATTTGCATTCTAATAGAAAACTGCTGAAAATGCAGTTACTTGTGTAAACTTGGTAGTAAAGAAACTCTTTCCTGGTAACTTGGTATTTGAATTAAACAGGACATAGAAGTATAAAATCAACCCTGTAGACAATACACAGACATATATGAACAGCTCCATAATCTAATTTCATTAGAAGCATTTAACATTTTTTATCTGTAGGCTGGTGGAATGAAGGCAGGAACGTTTGACCCTTACCCTGCACATTCTGCTGACCCTTACATGGTTAAGTTGGACAATCAGATTGCCAGCAAAACTGTCAAGATATTTCATCCACCAGGTGGACCAAAAAGCAGACCAGTTGAAAGTATAATGACTTTGAATGTCAGAAGGTAGGAATATCTTACAATTAGCCCATAAACCAAGAAATATTGATATTTGACTTTTAGGTTTCGTAGGAAATGGCAGATTTAGGTGATTTTAGAAATCGCAGCTCCTTTTACCTTTTCTTGTAGAAGTTTTTTCTCATCTTCTGAAATTCCTAGTTGAGAACAAGTGTTATTGATATCAAACTATTTTGTCCATAATTTTAAAAGCAGATTTCAGTACCTTATTATGGTATGAGTCTTTGAGACTATTTCAATACTTACACATTGTTTAGTAGTATTTATTACCCTGCTTTTCAGAAGTAGTTTTGGACCCTTATCACCTTTATGTGGGCTCCTGGCTCTCAGTCAATTTGGAAATAATCTATGAAAACAGTAAATAGTCTGGGACCTCCCTGGTGTGCAGGGGTGAAAGCCTCAGTGCTATGGTGCTATCAGGCTGTCCACAGCCACTGCAGCATGAGTTCAATCCCCAGCCAGGGTATGCAGCAGACCTCCCCTGACCCACCTGCTGTTCCCCTCAGCAGTGTACTTCAGTAGATCTGCCTGTTCTACTCCCCAATCTGTTTCTGGTGAATCCTCACATACCCCCACACCTCTAGCCTACACCCCAGTTTTTGTATGCATAAATAATTAAAAATAAGCCTTTAAATAAATAAAGATTCTGGCCAATTAAAAATTGATAGCAATATCACTTAGATATTTTTTAGAGTTTGAATATTTCTTGAATATTAGAGTTTGAATATTTCTTAAGAGTTTGAAAAGTATATTATTAAACTATTTTCAAACTTTTAAACTTACCCAGGTTTTGAGTACTCTGAAAACTGAAAAGAAGTTCTTGGGAATTCAGAATATAAGTTCTGAAAATATTCAATATTGTGTGTGTGTGTATGTGTGTGCAAGATCATTAATAAGAATCTATTGGAGGGCTCCTCTAGTCATTGAAATTTTAATGCCAATTAAACTATTTTACATATTTCTAATTTCATTATAGTCATATGTGAGAAAAAGGACATGGAATTATTTTCTATATCATTTGTAATCACATTATCAGTAATTATAATACCAACACCACTATTATATCACAAAATAAGACTGCCCGTTATATGACAGTTATATAATTTAACTCTCATCCACAGAAATAACATTCTGCATTGGTAGAGTATTGAACTTGGAAATAATACCATATGGACTTTTATTCCATGCTTTTTAACAATTAACATTTGACAAGCTGCTTATTAGTGCTTTGTCCACCTTTACCTATGTAATAGAACAGATAGTAAACTTTAGAGTTTACTATATTTACCCTCAAACAGTTTTTTTCTTGGCTACCAAGGGAAGGGGGAATGGTGGTATGTTTCAGATTTTCTCTTTGTTCTTTTCTACCTGTAGAACAGACCTGAGAAAGTTCTGTGATACCATAGTATATGTTTGGAGCAAAGAAAAGAGTAACTACTCTTTTGAGAAAAATCAGAGGCTTATCTCTGTTAAATAATTTTGGATTTATTGAATTTATTGAAATGTCTCTTTTTATATTATCTCCAATATTATCACAAATCAAGTTGTAGTTTTTTTTTTTTTTAAGATTTTATTTATGCATACAGAAATGAAGTCCAGGCCGGAAGTACAGGGGTGGCGAGAGGATTCACCAGAGACAGAGTGGGAGCAGAACAGGTGGATAGATGAAGTACACTGCTGAGGGGAGCAGCGGGCTGGACAAGACAGGTCTGCTGTCCTGTGTGGGTCACCTCTAGGACAGGGATCGAATTGGCTTGGCGTAGCTTCACAGTGCAGCGCTCCAACCCGATGGCCACCAGGGAGGGCCAAGTTGTAGCCTCTTTTAGCCTAATTTTAAAACTATACACCTCTAGAAAGGAGTATTTAAAATTGGTTCCACAAGCCAATTTTGCCTTCTTAAATTACAGTTTAAAAGTATATATGACTTATATAAAGTGAAGTTTTTAATTTGGTGAGAGAATTTATTGCCTTTGGATTGTTAATATGTTTTAAAATAGTTTTGAATTTTCTTCTGCAAGTGTTTTGACAAGAATGTTCAGATATATTTACATTTACCTATAAAATTAAGTGTGCATTTGCTTTCCATTTTAGGGCACTAAATATGAAGAACTACAAGACTGCTTCAATACAGTCCTATTAGCATCTGGATGACAGAAGCTTTCTAGATCCCGACTATAGCAATTCATTATGAAGAGCTAATTATTTGGGGGAAAAAATAAGATGTAGAGGTAGCTTAAGCATTTAAATGAAATTTAAGCCTGCAACTCTATTAATATTTCTTGTCCTAATTCTAGTACTAAATGTTTGAACAGAATTTGTTAACAATTTAGTGTATGATGGTTGATTGTTGTTTAGGTCGGTTTCCAGGGAGAATATAATATTTAGAAACTTTATAAAATCTTGAAGTGTAGTCTGTCATTTGAAATTGACAGGCACAAAGACAGTTACTGATCTTGACATCTGGATGATTGGACAAAGTAAAATATTTACAAACCCAGTGGATATTAAGAAATACAGCGAGGGTTCTGAGGCTAAGAGGGAGGTGAGAAGAGCAGAAGCAGGAAGGCCACAGAGAGAAAAGATTTAGGGTGACTCAAGCCAGTGTGATGGTAGTGGCAATCTGTGATGGTAGTGGCAATCTTGGACAAGAGTTTGAAAAATTTTTTTCACATTGAATTGAAATTTATCTCCCTGAAGTTCTTACTCACTGGTCCTTGTTCTACTCAGAGATATAGACGACAAAACAACACTTTTATACAGGACCACTCTTCACATATTTGAAGGTAACTGTCGTTATTCTGGGTGTGTGAGTCAGCTTTTTCAGTTCCTTCACCCCTCAGTCCATTTACAACATGAAGTCTCCGCTCAGAAGGATAAGACTCACTGAAAGTACTATGTCTCACATGGTCTGATCAGCCCAGACTAGATCTCTATTCTCTTTTTAAATATAGTGTTCATACTACTGCAATCTGAGACCTCCACACACACTCCAGTCGATCTTACTTTTGTGATTTCAACTGTTACCTATGAGCTTTATCTCTAGCTTAAAATGTTCTCCTGAATTTGACTTGTATTTACAACTGCCTATAAGATCTTTTTCTGTTCTAAAAAATATTAACATAGACAGTTCCTATATATCGCCTCCAAAATGGTACCTACTGTTTTTGCTTATTAAATTACCTCCACCTTCATTACCCTTTCACAGTAAATTGTATTTTCATAAGTCAAGTGCCTTAAAATAAACCCTGAGACAATTCCAAACTGTCTCCCTTTGCCATAAAGTCCACTACTTTACTACTTTACAGACCCTGTAGTGGAATCCCACTTTCCTTATGATAAAGGCAAAAATTGATTCTGGGATTTAAAGATTCTTTGAGATTTGATTTCTTATTACTCTCCCTTGTACTTTTTTTTTTTTTTAAATAATTTTTTTTTTAAAGATTTATTTATTTATTCATACAGAACTGGGGTACAGGCCAGAGGCTCAGGGGCGGTGAGAGGCTTCACCAGAGACAGAGTGGGGAGCAGAACAGGCAGATCGACGAAGTACACTGCTGAGGGGAGCAGCGGGCGGGTCAGGAGAGGTCTGGCTCGCCATGTGGTCTCCTCCGGGGCAGGCGGCAGGCGGGAATCGAACTCATGCGGAAGTGGCTTCAGATTCTCAGTGCTGTGCTTTAACCCGCTGCGCCACCAGGGAGGGCCTCTCCCTTGTACTTTTAATTCCATCTAGGATAAATTTCACTTCTTAAAATGAGACACACACTGTCCTTTGCCGAGGAGGGATTTATACATTTTCTTTTGCTTGGCAAACTTCCAGTCATCCATCATCTTTGAAGGACAGGCTTCCCCAAGACGTTTGCACAGGATTTCCCAAGACAGGCTACTTGGGCAGGTGGGTTATTTTGTGCTGTGGTCAGTTGAGATGTACTGGTTCATGAGATACTTTTAATACTCTCTTAGCTACCTCAAAAATTGAGAATTGAGGATCTTACTCAGATTTAGGAATTAGGAAAAGGTTATTAACATAAATAACATTTCTATCTGAAAAAAATCTATTATATGGCAGGGCAAACATATAGTTGTAGAGTATTTGCTTTGTGTCACGTGGTCACCTGCTTGTGGGTCTCTTCCCCCTTAAAGTTCCAGGCCCCTGTTCCATTTCCCCCATTTTGCTTCATTGTTTTTGGAAGTCATATGTTTATGTAGATTCCCCATACATACATAATATTGTTTACCCCCCCATGAATCACTTTGATGTTAATACTACTGGCTTGCCGATGTTAATATCAATCAAAGACTTTGGAAGTAGGACTATCACTAGGAATAAAGGGTGTGACTTCCTAGTAATAAAGGGGTTAGTTTACCAACGGGATAATAGTATTGAGAGTTCATGAAACAACTGACAGAATGGTGAAAATGACTTTTATTCTCTTTTAGTAATTGCTAGAATGACTAGACAGATGATTAGTAAGGATATGAAGGATTTGATCAACAATGTCAACCACTTTAGTTGACATTAATAGAATACTTGCCTTAGTGAATACAAAAAAAGCATTTGAGAAAAGTTATTTTATACAGCAAGAAGTCTTAGAAGCTAGACATACTGTTTCCTCTGGAGATAGGGCAGGTATGCCAACTGTCCTGGATACCAGTAAAGGGAATGTTTCCATTGAAGCAAAGGGCAGGTGTGCACACTGCACTCCTCGCCCTAAGCTGCCGCTGTCTCCTGCATTGTGACCACAGGGTGGTCCTTATTTCTTTTTAATATTTTTCTTTTGTGTAGAAGAATAGGGATATAGACCAGAGATGCTGGTGGTGGGGGGTTGGGGAGAGCCGTGACAGAGAGGATTCACCAGAGACAGAGAGGAGAGCAGAACAGGAGGATCGAATGAAATACACTGCTGAAGGGAGCTGGAGAGGTAAGCTGCAGATAGCTTGCTAGTGCTGAGACTTAACCCCTAGGTCACAAGCGAGAAGCCCCTGTGGGGTTCTTTTCACTGTTGCCTATAGAAACTGAGACTTAAAATATAATGTAGAAAAGCTGATACTATGAGTACTGCTTTTGTTGCCAGTAACAAACTGTCCTTTACCCCAAGAATCTTCCGTCTAAACCCAGGAACCCATAACCCAGGTTACGGCTGTGCAGCATAGCAAGTGCAGAGGGACCCTCACTGAAAGAATTGTTGTTAAGCAAAAGCAGCTGAGGCATTGAATTCTTTGCAGAGCAGCAGATAGTAAGAGAGGATACCTGCAACACACAGTGAAAAATAACCAAAACTTGTACTATAATCTATGAAACTGTAGCAGGCTAACATCTTGTGAGTTGAGCAAGATCTTGGATGCTCCACAGTTCTTAAAATTATTAATCCAATTCCAGTTTCTAATTTGAAAAACTAGTCTAATCAATTATGAGATAATTGTCCTATGTATGTAAAAGTGAATTTAAGATATCTCATGGGGAAAAAATACTTGAACAAGGATTTTGAAATATGGATTTTAGAAATTTATTTACATATCTTCGATGGAAGCATTTGATAGAGTTTACTTGGAATTCCTGGAAAAAAAGAATTATTATTTTAAAGCTGGGAGTGCTAAGTATGCTTAAGAAAAAATGACACAATCCCCACTCTCCACCCCTTGACAAAGTTGCTTTGTGCATATATAATGCATAGGGGTAAATATAAAACAACATGCATTTTATTAGACGTGCAGAACTTCTAAATAATTGCACTATATTGTAAATTGGGTACAAATCTTACAAAAATTAATTGCAAGCATCTTAAAAATCTCCTTATTAAGATACTCTGGTGGTGCCCAACAGGCCAAAGGAATCTTAAATAGTTTCTATCAATCTACTACAGTGTATTTATTTACCTTTCAAATCAGGAGCTAAAGGCCGACTCCTAGGACTAGATTTGTCTTGATAGGTTTCATAGTTTTCAAAATGGAACTTCTCTCTTCTTGAAATGTAACTCATTTTTGGTAGATCACTATGCTGGCTACAGATTTTTTCACTTAGATTTAAATATTCTCGCTGAAGATTCCGCATCTCAAATTCCAAGGTATCCCTTTCATTTTCTATACTTCTTACGTAGTTTTCTAGAAGTATTTTGTCTTCTGCAAGTCTACTGATGCTATTTTCAAATTTTATATTTTCTTGACTATGCTTTTTTAGTTCTTCTTTTAGAATCTGATTATCTGTTTTAATTTCCATTACCATTTTGGATAACATTTCACATTCATTGCCCATTTCTGACAAACTATTCTTATAAATGCTTGCTTCTGATTTTGCATTTTGAATTTCTTTTAGAAAATTCTCATTGGCAGTAGATTGGTAGGTTTGAATAGTCTCAATTTCTCTTTCCATCATTTGTCTAGCAGCAGTAGATTCTTGTAATGTTGTTTCAAGAGTAAGTTTTTCATTTTTAAATGTTTCAATCATTTGAAGAAGTGTCTCTTGTTCAGTTGTTGCTAACCTTTCTCTTTCTTTTAGCTGTATTATCTCTAGCTGATTTTCTTTAAGTTCATTTTCAAGTGAGCTTTTTTCCTTTAGAAGCTGGTATGTTTTCTTTTCCAACATTTCCTTTTCGTCTTTTATCAATAGCATACTTGTTTTCATTGCTTCCATTTCTATACTCATTCGATTATTTTCATTACTAACAATGGCCATGTCATTGTGAGTTTTATGTTCCTTACTTTTCAGCTGATCTAACGTTTCGATCATTTGCTGCTTCTCCAAAGAAAGTTGACTGTTTTTTTCCTCTAGAGTTTTAGTTTGTCCTTGGAGAACATTGTATTTACTAATTATTTTTTTCAATTCTTTAAGACATTCTTTGGCATCCTCTTCTGTTTTTTTTAACTTGGACAGAAGACTGTTCTTTTCTTCAGCCAGATTCTTAACTTGCTTTTCATATGTTTCAATTTTCTGTATCAGAGATTGTGTGGTAAAAACAAGAGGTTTTATTTTGGTCTTAAGGATTAGATTTTCATTTTCTAGTTCTGTTACCTTTTTCTGTATCTGCATAGATTCTTTTAGGTAATTCTGTAAGTACTGAATTTTTGCAACACACTGCTCAGTAACAGAATTGACTTTGGATGTTTTCTCATTTTCAAATATTATTGTTCCTTGTTTTACTACACATGGTTGCCTTTCTTTGTTATTTGCTTCATATTTTGTTGGCTCAAATGACACTGTATGTCTTGGAGCTCTGGAATGGAATTTCAAATCTGTAATATTCTTGCCAGTGATAGGGATTTCTTTGTTTTT